GCGCCCCGCCTCGGTGCCTTTCTTCCCGGAGGTGCATGAGGAGCTCAACAGGTCGTGGACGGCACCTTTTTACTGCCGGAAACTGATTTGCTGGATCCTCCTCCCTCACCACCCTCGATGGTGGGGCAGCTAGGGGGTTACAAGGGTCCCCCCGGTGGAGCGGTCGGTTGCGATGCAGTTGTGTCCTAATACCGCCTCCAACCAGCAGGGAGAACCGTGCCTCCCCTCCCGGGTCTGTAGGTACTCGACTGGCCAGCGATGCCTATACGACTGGTGGAGAAGCTGCCTCCACCTTACACGCTACGGCGTGATTGCAAGTGCACCAGGCCATGGTACTGAGGGACTTGCACGAGGGTGGTCACGACCTGGAAGTTCGCAGAGAACTCCGCACTGCGGCGGACCTCGCACCACGAGCGACGAAGGTTATGGCGCTGTCTCTGGGTCATGCGACGTCCACTATGGTGGTCTGGGAGCGCCAATTCTGGCTGTGACTGGTTGACATGCGAGAGGTGGACAAGACACGATTCTTGAACGCCCCCGTGTCCCAGGCCGGCCTGTTGGCGACACGGTGGAGAACTTGCCCAGCGGTTCTCCGCTGACCAAAGCAGACTGCGGCCTCCAGCAAAGCTCTGCCGTGGAGCCGGTCGCAGGGCAGCCGCCCCGCCCGTCCAGGCCCCCACCAAACCTGCGATTCAGTCGCCCGGCGTCTCCCCCTAATTTCAGTGGCATCCGCTTCATTACAGTGAAGGCGGCCGATGGTCCTGTCTTGCGGGCGGAGGTCGCAGTCCTATTGGCGAAGGATGCGATAGACAACACAGTGACCGTTGCGTACATCAACTGACAAGGTGATCTGCGCTCCCTTCGCTTATCGCAACTCGCCCACCACCTCCTCCTCTGGAGTCAGAAGCATCTGAGGTCGCTTCGTGCTGTTCACATTCCTGGGCTGCTCAACCGGGCAGCCGACGAGCTGTCCCGAGCTGCGCTCCCAGGAGAAATTCACGGCAACCCGTCAAAATAAAAGTTTGGTTTAACTTGAAGGCATTGCGGCAAAAAATATATTACTATTGTTCAGTAGAATATACGTAATAGGCTGCTACTACTACTAAAATGATTAAAACCTTATTTTTAAAGAATAATCATACAATATTTCTTCAATGTTTTAATTTTAATATTAAATGACCTTTATTTTCCAAAAAATTAAATTTGTTTAATTTTCATTACTTAAAAGATAGATTAAATGAATGTTTTATGCCTTAAAAAATGTAAATAAACAACACAGAATGTCTGAGCAAAAAATCATAAGGCTATTGTAAGAATAAATGAAACTTGTTTTTATGCTTTCAAACAATTAGACATGCTAAAACAGAATTTGGTAACAATAAAACAAAGTTGGAAAAAATTTAACATTTCATAGGGCCCTAAACATGTAATTTTAGTTAAACTTTTAATAAATTGATGTTAAATTGTTTAAGTTTCATGATTTTAATTAATTAGATATGCTTTTCGATTAATACAATTGAATTTAACCATTAAAAAGGAGTCCAGAAAAATAAAAAAAATAAAACCTAGGGGAAACACTGTGATGTGTTATATACTTTATATAATGTTTTTATAGATATGTATCACTGAATTACTAATATCAACAATCAAAGCAGCCTCCTGTCAACCATGTTCTGGTAACATACTGAATTTGACTGTAAAACCGTGTCAAGTTTAGTTTGCTTTGAGCTCCTTAACTAAAACCGAATGTGAATAGAGATAGATAGATATTTTCTTTCCCTTGGGCATTTTTAGTTCAGATTTTTGCCATACTATTGTTTTTCTTTAATGAGTGAAATTTTGACTGTGAATGTTGTGATATCTTGAAAGCGTTGCTTTGGTGAGTGTTCAGAGTTTAGGAGGGAGCGATCTGTCTAATGAGGGGTGCCCTGTGAAAACGCCTGACGTGTGACTGTGGTGTGAAGAGCAAACACCAACTGTCAGTTAACAGGAACACCATGAAAAACTGTATTTGGACAGTCTTTCCACATTTGAAAATGTATGAATGCCATTGGATTAGAAACAAAACTTTAAACCAAAGTGTCACTTGTAAAAAAAAAAAAAAAAAAGGCAGTAAACTGGGCTTGGAATTAGTTGTTTAAAAGTCATTGCAAAAATGACATTAAGAATGACATTTTATCAATACAAAGCAATAATAAATTAAAATAAATTAGTGAATCGTAGTTATTTTTTCGAGAGCTTGCTTGCTTATTCATTCATTCATAAAAAAAAAACAAACACTTACACTGTATCAAGGCAAGCTTTCTAAAATAAGAAAACTTTGTTAGCCATTATTTTGACTCCAGAAGTTATTATTAATCTTTTCTCTTTTTTAAGATAATTTGTGATCATAATTTATTCATATGGTACATTATGCAAATGAACCGCACATTGTGACTGAATGAAATATGAATGGGAACAGTCTCCTTGCAATGCAACTACAAATAACCAAACAACCAATCGCCACATTATGGCTCCAGCTTTGGCCGTGTGTTATAATTTTAGATCCATAATTCATTTATATGGGTAAACATGCTGATATTCTCATCTGTTACCACATATGAGTGCTCGTTAATAAAGAAACTCCCATATGAGGGACGTGTTTTTCAGCAAAGCTCGTGTCTATGTATAAATTCTCATCTTCAAACATGACCGCTGGGAATTCACAGCTGTGGACGGAGCAGCACTCTGTTCCACGTGCTTTGCTGCTTTTACGAGAAAAAAAAAAGTCTCCACTTGTTTATTAGCAAATAGAACATAAGACAAATGAATTGTCAGAGTCACATGCTGAGGTAAAGAGAAATTACATAGAGATGCTACCCCAAGGCCAGGTCAGAAAAACTCCAGCAGGCTAATTCACCCCCCGCGCTGCGCTAACAGTAAAACATGCTCTTTATTCCCAAACCGAAGACCTTTGTTTCCAGATTATTTTCCTCTAAATTAGAACAATCATCCTGCATTTTCCTCAGAAACTGTGAGATGATATAGCATGCATACAGCATACAGCAGTCTTTCATGTTTCAAATCTACAATAATATTCTGGTGTATATAAACACCATTAGTACCAAGGTTCTGTATTTTTTATTTTTTTATTAATCTTATAATATTACATATACTTTTCTTTATGAAGGAAAAATGTCACAGTTTCCACAAAAAAAAATGTTAAGCAGCAAAAACAGTTTTCTACAGTAATAATAAAATTGATTCTTGAGCAGTAAATCAGCATCTGAAGGACCATGTTACACTAAAGAGTCGAGTAATGGCTGCTGAAAATTCAGAATAGCGTCACAGGAATACATTAAAATGTAAAATACATTAAAATAGAAATCAGTTGTTTTAAATTGTAATAATATTCACATAATATTTTTACTTTCAATTTTACTGTATTTTTCATCAAATAAATGCAGCCTTATATACAAAATAAATAATAAATGCCGTGATTTAAAAAAAAAAAAACATTAAAAATCAACATTTTTGTTTTGTTTCGTTTCGGGTTTTTTTAAAGCACAAGTACAGTAATGTTTTTTTTTTTTTAGAACTAGAAAGCCTTTCTGGTTCTAAAATGAATTTATCCAGCGAACAGCAAAGGCGCAGACCTCAGGAACAATGTGACACCGATGGACGATACTGCCCCTACTTTTCCAACATCTCACTGTACACTGTGTCTGTAAGCCATGAGATCATTTCTGGACTTTATCTTTTATTGATGTGCTTAATTTTAGTTCCTAGAGCCCACATAAACCACCTTCTGCATGACTTCCTGTTAAACAGGCAGTGGAGGGATGGTTAGTTCATTCCGAGTGAAATGGCATATAGTGAAAATTAATCCATCATAGGTACAATCAGCCTGACCTCAGGGGGGATTCATACAGATGTATAACTCATGTGCTGGCATGTATGAACACTCAGAGGTGAGGCTGTTTATCTTTGTCATTGGGTTGAAAAGGACCACTTTGGCATCTATCCGCTCCGCTAATTCCCGCCGTCTTTTATCTGGCTCCTGCTCTGGGCCACCATCCGTCCGTCCATCAGCTGTGTGCACGCTCGCTCTCAGTTTGATGCTATTGTCCTCACAGATGACTGATGAAGAAATGTTCAGGCTTCAATACAAGCATTTTTTACCACAGAAAATGTTTTGTTAAAACAGACACAGTACCATCATGCAGACATTCATAATTATTTTCCATAGTAATATATGTTTCCACTGTATCAACTCCACATTCTGTTGATACAGCTTTTATTCAATCCAGAGCATTACTTTATACTCTGGTGCAAATAGTTTTCTTTTCTGTTTCACTCTTCTGATTGCTTGCATTGCAAAATCTACATTTTTGTTGACATTTTCACTCTTCTGATTGCTTTGTATCTTTCTCTCGCTTCGTCCAGGTGTAACAACAGAACGCAGTGCATCGTCATCACCGGACCAGATGTTTTTCCTGACCCCTGCCCAGGAACATATAAGTACCTTGAAGTCCAGTATGAATGTGTTCCCTACAGTAAGTATGAGCCGTCTTTTTAAATATATACATTTTTTTTAATGTTACTCCTTTATGAGCGTGCCTTAAAATGCATTTCCCCAGGATTCAGTTTTTTGTCCACGATAATACAGTGTTTATAAAACATGTACAGTAGCCACTTTTTCAAGTTTTGTCATTTTACAGCATTAACAATGGATTTTGCTTTTTTGCAACTGATTAACAGAAGAAAAAAAAAAGAGTTTTAATGTCAAAGGTGAAACAAATGCAGCATCCACTAAAGAAATGACACACCTAAACCATCACTGGCACAGCCAATTCATTTTCAAAGTCAAATTTAAATAGATCACTTGTGAGTAGTTAAGTGGTTTCATTTGATTGTAGTATAGATACAGCTCTATCTGCAAGGTCTAACTTCTGGTGAGTCATTATTGCAGAAATTTGCTGACTCCAAGCAGTGAAAGTGAATTGTAATTGAAAAGCAGAAGGCAGGGGATGGATACAAGAAGACTTCCAAGTCATTGAATATCCCTTGGAGAACACTTAAATAAACAATTAAGAAATGGACAGAGTATGGCACAGCTGTAAATCTACCTAGACCGTCCTCAAAAACCAAGTGACCATGCAGGACTGGTGAGAGAGACCACCAAGAGACCAATGATTTACTATCATTACCCAATGATAGACTGTGCATACAGCAACCGTTGCCTGGGTGCTTCTCTACTTTTATGAGACAGAGCCAAAGATAAAGCTACTGTTGTTAAAAAAAAAAAAAAAAAGAAGTGAAACGATATCTTGTTTGCAGTTCGCCAGAAGGCATGTGGGAGATTTTCAAACCAGGTGGAAGACGGTTAAAATTACTCAATTTGTACGCTTACATGAAGGGGTGGATATGCATTTAAAATAAATGCAATATATTTTGACCAAAAAAACAAATGTTGCTATATATAATATTAATTCTAAAATATTTTAATTTATTGTAGAAATAATATTTTGCTGTGTTTTTATAAGCAAATATGTACAAAAAAAATTACTATTATTACATAAAATAATTATTAAATAAAATTTTTTTTTTATAAAATAATAATAATATACTTTTTATAGGCACTGTATTATCAATATCAGTGTTTGCAAGACAGCATTATATAATAATCTGCAATGTATGGCAGTTATGGCATTGTCGCAATATTTGTGGTTAGTCTTCTTTACTGCGTTTATTCACCTACTGAATTCTGATGTTTCTTTCTTGCTATTTAACCATATTTAACACTATTTAACCACTTTTACAAACTGTGCCGTTAAAATGAGACGAGCACGAGAGTCACAAAAACAGCAAAAGTGTCTTTGATGCGGCATTTCATTTATGGCAAATCTAAGCTTAAAACTTAAAACCCTATTTGTTTGCTGCCTTGCAAGAACTGCTATTTCCTTGAGAAAATAAATTGTTATTCATGTTTTCTTATAATGCAATGCTTCATTCTAATGATACACAGTTTTTAGTGTTTGATTTGTATCCCGAAACCTTGTGCAGGTGTGATTGTAGTGCACAGAGCTGGGTTTAAAATGCTTTTAACTGCCTTGTTTAAATCTGACATTGTTTCATAAAAACTAAAATATAAGCTGTTAAATGTAAACCATTTCCATGTGCTTTTCTCCCTGTGAAATGTTACTTTTTAGCAGTCTTTCCTCTATCAGGAACATTACAGCAATACGCACTACATGAATGCAAAGTGACATTCTCTGACGTCCAGTCTTTGCACCCATAATTGCTCAGAGACAGACCTGCATGATTTTCTTGGCTTTAAAAATGATTCAGTGTTATGCCAACTACTAAACAGACCAAAGATGTTTTATTTTTCTTTAGTGTGTGATCACTGTGAAACCGCAGCTATACGACTGTCAGAAAACACAAATGATTGCACATGGATCTAACATGAACAAACTCCAAACAAACGCCTCACTTCTATTCTCAGATTTCCCATTACATTAAGAGTATGGATTGTTTTGCTCCATTAAACAATTAGATAGTAATATTATTCTCTGATTGAATTGTCTCGTCTTCTCAGAGAATGTTTCCAGAGACTTCACATACTAGACGGGGTCCTCTGCCGCACATTTCCCACCACAATCCCAAAATAACAAAGGCCCGCTGGATTTTAGTGCTTAGTATAAGTTTAATCTCCATCCATATCTATGGGTTATTGAAGTCAAAATCCCACACGCAATTTTAAAAGCTGTTTTTTCACAAAGTATCATGTTTTTCAGCTTTTCTCCAGGAATATCTGTGTTTGATCACATTTCTTCTCTGTTGCGAGCACCTTCACAGAATATGTTTTTGTGTTGTTTTTTGTCTTAATGTTTTTGCATTACCTCCTCTAGGCATTTCCAGGCGGTCTGTAACAGTTTTATTTATTAATCACAGTTTGACTCCCTAGGATGCCAGAGCCCTCATGTCACCCTCAGGCTGCTGAATGCTGTTTATTTTTATTTTTTTATTTTTTTAACTTGAAGTCATTTTCTTATTTGGTCTTGTTTGGTTGCAACAGTGGAATGTGCATGATGTTCTTTGGCCACGGTATCTCAGAGAACTGGATTTGTCCTGGTATTAAGTGTACTGGATACTCTGAGATCCGTCCAGAATGTTTTGGCTGACTAAACTAGAAATGATTTGTGATATTTAGAAATGAATAGAAATTATTTTTGGATGGATGTCGCTATAATTTCATTTGTTTTAACCTACCTCATTAGCAACCTGGTTGCTATTAGTAACTATGAGGATTAACTTAATTCTTATTAGATTTTTGTAATGGGCAAAGGCTATTTATTTATTTGTTTGTTTCAACCTAATATTCAGTTTGTGGGTGCAAACTAATGACACTGCATGATCTCCAGGTGAATCTGATGTAAACATGTCCAGAATCTTAGTTCAAATTCAAATATGCACAAAATTAAAACAAATAAGTAATTTCCATAAAGAAACTAATTTTATGGACCATTATGATTTTTTTTTTTGCATTATAATATTATTTTAAGGACAATTAAGCACATTTCCTCACCAAAATTATTATTACTGTAATGCATCCAGATTTTTTTTTTCTCTTTGCAATTATCATTATCCTCAAAGGTGAATCTCATTAGATTGTCATTACTGTAATACAGTATTTTTATTATAGTATTTCTTTACTAAATCAGCATAAAGACAGCACAAATTACTATTATAACTAAACTGTGCATCATAAGCAATTACACTTACAATGTCATTATTTATAATGTAAAATATTATCAATAAAAAAAAATCACAATGGTCCTATATACAAATATCTTTTATTTTCTGCAAAATATATTTTATATTATGTCTTCTTTCTTTGTCATTTTTTTTGGTGTTCTGGACAGGTTTCTTGAGATTCATTCATATGCTAAACAGAGCTCCTGTAGAAAATAGTGACTTCCATGAAAAAGAACACAGTGCTCAGTGTCTCCTGGACATTGTGGCCACAGAATGAACACCAATAGTAGATCGATCATAATAAGACAAGAAGGAAATCTGAGAAATGTAGCTTTAGATTGTCAGAAATGTTGAAATGCTGAAGATGGCCTTCATGAGATAAAACTTCTGAAGACTGTCAAGATTCTGTTTAAATGTCTGTCTATCTGTCTGTCTGTCTGTCTGTCTGTCTGTCTGTCTGTCTGTCTGTCTATCTCTCTTTTTCTTTATCTGGTGCTATGGAAGGATTTGGAGGGACAGTGTATTGGCCCGGACAAACCCATGACGATAAGAATTTCTTGAGAACTGAGCCTTTTAAAAAAAAAAAACCTTAATAGCAAAATATCCTTCTTGACTAGTAAATTAGCTTTAAATCAGCATAAATACAGCACAAATTACTATTATAACTAAACTGTGCATCATAAGCAATTACACTTACAATGTCATTATTTATAATGTAAAATATTATCAATAAAAAAAATCACAATGGTCCTATATACAAATATCTTTTATTTTCTGCAAAATATATTTTATATTATGTCTTCTTTCTTTGTCATTTTTTTCGGTGTTCTGGACAGGTTTCTTGAGATTCATTCATATGCTAAACAGAGCTCCTGTAGAAAATAGTGACTTCCATGAAAAAGAACACAGTGCTCAGTGTCTCCTGGACATTGTGGCCACAGAATGAACACCAATAGTAGATCGATCATAATAAGACAAGAAGGAAATCTGAGAAATGTAGCTTTAGATTGTCAGAAATGTTGAAATGCTGAAGATGAGATAAAACTTCTGAAGACTGTCAAGATTCTGTTTAAATGTCTGTCTATCTGTCTGTCTGTCTGTCTGTCTATCTCTCTTTTTCTTTATCTGGTGCTATGGAAGGATTTGGAGGGACAGTGTATTGGCCCGGACAAACCCATGACGATAAGAATTTCTTGAGAACTGAGCCTTTTAAAAAAAAAAACCTTAATAGCAAAATATCCTTCTTGACTAGTAAATTAGCTGTTTAAGTTGTTTGGTATGTTTATAATGCATTACCATTTCAGCCAACAACAACAACAAAAAAAGATCTTTAAGATCTGAAATCTGAATGTAAATTCTTTAAAATCTGAAACCTTTTTTTTTTTTAATTGGCAGTTTTATGTTTACAGACCTGGAAGGCAGATGATCAACATAATGTATTAGCATAGTAATTTATTAAAAGCAATTAAAAATATATTCAAAATTGCCAAATAACAATTATCTTACCGTTTATTTAGAATTCACTATAATCTTTTTAACCATGGACAAGTCAGTATATTTTGGAAGTGACTGTTATTCAGTGGAACAGGAACAAAAAATGGTGAAAAAAAGAAGAAAAAACTACACTTGTAAATTAGAGATGAAAGATGAATTCTTTACTCACTGCTGTGTCATTCCAAACTGTTCCATTCCCATATGAATTCTGTGCAACACACACACACAAAAGTGAACTTTAAAGAACATTTTGTCCACTCATTTCAGTTTAATTAAAGTGAAAGAAGTCAACTCTGATATGACAAATGTTCACCATAAATAGTATAATAAAAAGCGGTTCATATGATGTGTGCTATACCGTATCTCAAGTCTTTTGATAGATCTGTGTGAGAAACAGACCAAACTATTATATACAAAGTTAATATTGTTAGATAAAACTTCTGAAGACTGTCAAGATTCTGTTTAAATGTCTGTCTATCTGTCTGTCTGTCTGTCTGTCTATCTCTCTTTTTCTTTATCTGGTGCTATGGAAGGATTTGGAGGGACAGTGTATTGGCCCGGACAAACCCATGACGATAAGAATTTCTTGAGAACTGAGCCTTTTAAAAAAAAAAAACCTTAATAGCAAAATATCCTTCTTGACTAGTAAATTAGCTGTTTAAGTTGTTTGGTATGTTTATAATGCATTACCATTTCAGCCAACAACAACAACAAAAAAAGATCTTTAAGATCTGAAATCTGAATGTAAAATCTTTAAAATCTGAATCTTTTTTTTTTTTTAATTGCCAGTTTTATGTTTACAGACCTGGAAGGCAGATGATCAACATAATGTATTAGCATAGTAATTTATTAAAAGCAATTAAAAATATATTCAAAATTGCCAAATAACAATTATCTTACCGTTTACTTAGAATTCACTATAATCTTTTTAACCATGGACAAGTCAGTATATTTTGGAAGTGACTGTTATTCAGTGGAACAGGAACAAAAAATGGTGAAAAAAAGAAGAAAAAACTACACTTGTAAATTAGAGATGAAAGATGAATTCTTTACTCACTGCTGTGTCATTCCAAACTGTTCCATTCCCATATGAATTCTGTGCAACACACACACACAAAAGTGAACTTTAAAGAACATTTTGTCCACTCATTTCAGTTTAATTAAAGTGAAAGAAGTCAACTCTGATATGACAAATGTTCACCATAAATAGTATAATAAAAAGCGGTTCATATGATGTGTGCTATACCGTATCTCAAGTCTTTTGATAGATCTGTGTGAGAAACAGACCAAACTATTATATACAAAGTTAATATTGTTTCAAATGTTACAAAGTTAACATACAGCATCATTGTAATTGCATGAAAAAGAGTGATATTATTCAAAAGTATGTGTTCCACAAAAAAAAGAAAGTCAGGTGTATTTGGAATGACATGACTGGGTGAGTAAATTGCTCTTTTTCATCAGGAAATCGTAAAGTAACCTTAGAAATTACAGACGCGTGATTTTCAAAAGTAAAAAGCACCAGCCTGCCAATCACCCGCTGCCACCCTGATCTGGACCGAAAAGAAACATGAAAATATGTCCTTTTAAAAAGTAAGAATATGGAAATTGAAACCGCATACTGCCGTAGTGGACTATTCAAGTGTTCATATAAAGCCTAGAAGGGCTGACAAGAACTCTGTGCTTGGAGAGGAACTGTAGAGTTGAGGAACAGCTTTATTTTTCTGGTTTTGAGTTTCGCTCCAGCACAACTTACCAGCTATCCACCTGGAATTCAGATTTCCCTGGTCGATGTCCCTGAGTTCTTATGAAAATCTATATGCCGCTATCTAGAATTCAGCCCGTGTATTTCCCCTCGACAACAGCAGATTGATTTGTCTTCAGTGCCACATACACTGTCCTTCTGTACTGTGACAGAACACTCTTTAACCTTGCTCTCTTTCATGTGTTGAAGGTGTCTAACTGCGATCTCTTCCTCCTCTGACAGCTGTAGCTCTGTGCATAATGCCCGTAACCTCATGACGTGTTAACTACATGTGATCATGGACATGATGGTTAATTCATTTTAATCTCTTTTTCCCCTTGCACTCCTTTCATTCTCTCTTCCAACGCTTAAAATAGAAGTGGAGCAAAAAGGTAAATCACTGACACAATCAGCTCCTTGTTTTTCTTTCTTTAATATATACATTTTGTGGTTGTAAAACCTTCCTGTGCCCACTCTTGCTGTTCCGATAGCATGCGGTAGCAGAAAGGGTCTTGTATTTTAGTAAAGGTCAGTGCACAAGCAGCAATCGGAGGGAAGCTTTAAAAGAAAATGATAAAGCACAAGTTAAATGTTAGCGGTAATGCTGAGGGTACAAATTCCCCATTTCCCCCTCCTCTTCCTATCCTCCACACGCTTTTATTGCCTGTTCAAACCCCAGCCCCACTCCACACTCCTAGCATGCTCTGGTTACAGGTTTCCTACAGACTTACACAACCTCTACTGTTTCTTGCTTTCCCTTCATCTAACTCTCTCTCACTCTCTACATGTCTCTCTCGCTTTCTCACTTCACCCTTTCTACATGTTTGATTATCATGTCTTTGTTAAGAAGAAAGGAAATGCTTTATGCTGTAAAATGATTACAACATTAGGCCCATAGGAAAGATGTAAAAACTGTGGAAAAACTTGGCTCAGGACACAGACTTCCTGTATGCTGCTCTTCTCTGCATCTTTCTCAAGCCTTATTTAGCTGTCTGCTTTTATTTGCAGGGCAGATTTGTCGTATTGCTTCCTTTTTTCCTTTGTGTTTGGTCGTGGTTTGATTTCTCCATCACTCCCCTTCAGTATGTCCAAGCAGCAGTGAGCCGAGACTGTTTGCTTACGGACACATAAAAAAACTGTTTTTGCTTCCGTTTTAAGCTTCAGTAACCTTCAGATGCAGATTCTTCGCACCTTTTACTGCTTGTGAGTGTGGGTAGCTGTTAGACTTCTTAGTGTGTGTTTCTGTTTTCACCGACTACCCAGTTATCAGAGTGATGTAGTGACAGACGGCACTTTGCCCTCTGCTTTCAACTAGTGTGAGCTGCCTTCGCTTATGTTTGACTGTTGTCTGCTCTGTTCTTCTCATTACTAGTTTTTGTTTGTCCCGGAACTCTGAAAGCCATTGGAGATCCATCGTTTCTGTACGAGGCGGAGCAACAAGCGGGGTCGTGGTGCAAAGATCCTCTCCAGGCAGGAGACAAGGTTTATTTCATGCCCTGGACCCCTTACAGAACAGATACACTTATTGAGTATAACTCGCTCGACGACTTTCAAAACTCTCGACAGACTACGACATATAAACTCCCCCATCGGGTCGATGGCACGGGATTTGTGGTATACGATGGTGCAGTGTTTTTTAACAAGGAAAGGACACGTAACATTGTCAAATTTGACCTTCGGACCAGAATTAAAAGTGGGGAGGCAATTATAAATAACGCCAACTATCATGACACCTCACCATATAAGTGGGGCGGGAAAACAGACATCGACTTGTCAGTTGACGAAAACGGTCTTTGGGTGATCTACGCCACAGAGCAGAACAATGGCATGATGGTGATCAGTCAGCTCAATCCCTACACCCTTCGCTTCGAGGCAACCTGGGAGACCACCTACGACAAGCGATCGGCCTCCAACGCTTTTATGATCTGCGGGGTTCTGTATGTGGTCCGATCCACGTATGAAGACAATGAGAGCGAAGTCAGTAAGAGCCTCATCGACTACATGTACAACACCAAACTGAACCGAGGCGAATACATCGACATCCACTTCCCCAACCAGTACCAGTACATCGCCGCTGTGGAATACAACCCTCGAGACAACCAGCTGTACGTGTGGAATAACTTCTACATCCTGCGGTACAATCTGGTGTTTGGTCCACCTGATCCAGCCCACGGTAAGCCTCATCTCGAATTCATCTAGCCACACACACACACACGGTCCCTCTGGATATCTGTTTAAGTGGTCGCGAGATTTCAGCCACTGAGTTGGTATTCCTCTGGCACCCAAGTCTGTGTGTCAAATGTCACGGATGACTGATTTTTAATTTCAGATTTAATATGTGCTTGATGTATTCCGGAAACCTTTCTCGAGTGCAAGCAACATCTCAGAGTGAAGTGGTGGGTCTCAGCAGTAAACAACATCATAGGCGTTGTTAGCATATAATCAGAGACGCGTCCCTCGAGGTTTCAGAAGACAGAGTCATCCCTCCCCAGTGTTTAGACTCTTGAGACTAAACTCCCTCCCACTGCCCCACTGAGAAAGGTACCACTTCCCTCATTGGTAGAGGGTTACCTGTCTGGACAGGTATGTAGGCAGCCTTGCGGCAACAGTGGATCACCCCCAAAAGAGTAGATCTCGTTCCCTAACCGCCACAAAACAAACAACTTACGCTTTGCCTCGAATGCCTCTCAATGTGTCTGTGCTGAGAGACAGCTCTCCATTGAGACCGGATCAGTCCCGAAGGTCACGTCAGCATAGCCTGTTTTTAATTTAACTGTCAAGAGCTAGGACAGGATGGCCATAATATGTGTCAGATCATCTTTACATTGAAAAAATAATAACCGTAATTACCATAATCCTAGCTCAGCCTAGAGGCCAAGACTCTTGCATTACTCCAGAAAGACTTGGCTAAGTGTAGAGGTCAAACAACTTTACGCAGATTAGTGGGGCTTACAAATTTAAAATATTAGTGTATTTCTTCTGCGGAGACCCAGCGGGGTCTACCTCACTCGTGAATCTGCTTGTGCAGACATTGAGCTCTGTAACTGTACCCAGGGCCGTCGTGAAACTGTACTCGTAATGAGTGTACTTAGGATAAAGTCGTTGAGGATAAAAGCATCCGCTAAATCAGGGGTTCCCAAAGTAGGGGTTGGGACCCCCAGGGGGTCGCGAAACCACAAGGAGGGGTCGCAAGATGATTTCCAGAAATCAAATATGTTTTATTTAGACATAGCATATTTTACCCATAAATAAAAACCTATAAGTTGAATTAAAAATAAAACTCTGACGTGGAGTTTTGTACTCCAGCATGTTGCCCACCCAACTAATTAGGTAAGATTAATGTTGAAATGTAAGTAATGAGTAAATTAGTATAAAATAATATTATTGTTGTTAGACTGTTGTGTTCCTTTGTGTTGTCATTATGATATAAGTGCATGTGCGCCATTGTGCAAAACGTTTGTATACTTTAACCACCTCAGAGGAAAGTGGGGTCCCGAGTTACTGGCACTGTTATTTTGGGGGCCGTGGGCTGAAAAGTTTGTGAACCCCTGCGCTAAATGACAAGATACTAGATTGTAAGGTACAAATTATTTGTAGGCTGCTCAAAAGCATTCAAAAGCACCTCAAAGTCTACCTGTTATGTTAATAACTAGCCATAGATATGGTTCTCATTTGAAGGCTGCAACCTTTTTAACTGGCTAAATTTCAAGGCAGCTTCACATATATCCTTCACAGAGAATGCAATCTCAGAATGCTTTTTTTTTTTTTAAATCATCCAAGATAATGTATGAATCGAGAGGGTTTTTTTCTTGTTTTTTTATATATACGAATACAATCTAAGAAAAAATATGTAAAAACAGGGCTTAATGAACCATTAATAGTTTTTCACTTATTTTAAATTACGCATTGCATTGGGTAAAAGGAAATGTCCAGAAAATGGCAGAAAATAACAAGTACTTTTTCTATTTTTCTAACCATTAATTTTTCTTACTGTGCACGGCAAATTTCATTCAAATCATCCAAGATAATGTATGAATCGAGAGGGTTTTTTTCTTGTTTTTTTTTATATACGAATACAATCTAAGAAAAAATATGTAAAAACAGGGCTTAATGAACCATTAATAGTTTTTCACTTATTTTAAATTACGCATTGCATTGGGTAAAAGGAAATGTCCAGAAAATGGCAGAAAATAACAAGTACTTTTTCCATTTTTCTAACCATTAATTTTTCTTACTGTGCACGGCAAATTTCATTCATTGTTGAGAAGCTTCTAATATATATATATATATATATACACACACACACACACACACACACACACACACACATATAAATATTGGGCTATTATAAAAACTATTTAAAAATGTCACTTTTTATTTGTAAGAGCTATGCAGTTTTACACTTAGAGTATTACAATGTAACTTAGCTTAGCAACATGCTAACTCCTTACCATATTGAAATAATTGTAATTTGAGTCTCCTGTGCGGTTCACGGGGAATGCTTTTTTGTGTTGAGGTTCCATTTCTCATAAGGTGCTGTTTTAAAAGGTGAATATGCAGACGGTAGACTGCAAGGCAGCTAGCTAGCTTTTGGAACGGAGCCAAAACACCTCTCCGAAGGCTATGTATGACATTCATAATCACATTACTATCTGCACTACTTATTATATCAGACTTATTTTTGAGATCAGGACAGAATCATCCGAGTCATTCTTAGCATGTGCTAGCAGCTTTCCTTTAGCCTGAAGCGATTACCGCCACTGAATTAAAACCATCGAGCAAATTCATCCCTGCACAAGCAAGCAATTAAGTAAGAAATATCAACTCAATATCACTTCAGTTGCAAAGTATTGGGACTCAGATCTGAAATTCATTGAACATTTCTCTGGGGTGTTACCTCGGAGGGTTCAAATCTTTCATTAAGGAAATGTTATCACATTGTTACCACAATGTATCCACTTGTGGTTCACACTTATACGATGTGGCTGATTGAATGTGCCCGTGTATGTTCTGCCTCTCTTTTAGCCGCCTGTAAAGGAAGTAATTAGCTCAACAATCAGTGCTGATGAAGGACAAAAACATGCTAATTTCACTAGCTTTAGCTCCTGTGCAGTGCACGAGTTGAATGATACCCCCATCCCCACTTGAATCTAATCTGCCATCATTTGTATACTGATGTGATTTCTCTGTTTTAGATGTGGTGATTATCTCATCAGCTCAATAATCAGCTCACTCACACTGCCGTCAGAGTTGTGCTCCGTAGAGTTGATGTTTGCTCCACTTTACTTTGATAGCTGTGAAATTACCTTGATTTTGAGACACTGGAACAACGGACCACTAGAGTATGTGAGATATGATAAGCCCCTGCCTTTATAGGAAGAAATCTCTCCCCTTTAAGTCAGAGGCCAAAAAAAACCTCTTCAGGGATGGAGCAGTTACGAGATTAACTGTTAAGCTATTTTGGCAAATCACGTGACCTACAATCATTTGTATGTGCTGTATAGTGGCAAGTTAATCTTTAACAGTTGAAACCACTATAAGAGACTAGATAAAAATATAGAAAAAATTAAGTAAAAACTCAGATGTCAGATTTATATCAGATCAGATTATATCACAATAACCAATTATTGTTCAGAATTATTTAAATATTTAAATTAGAAATATACAGTTTTTCTAGTTTATTTGATGCAACTTGAGCAGAAATATGCCAGTATAACATTTGTAAATGTATCAATGACTGCAGTACGTCAGTATTAACTGTGACTGATTAATTGCTGCTGATACTGTTTGGCTTAATTAGAGATATTCATTTAGAAATGAAATTGTTAGTTTTGCTCAGACTGTAACAGTATGGGTGTAAATATTTTTTTTATAACTCATAGCTACTAAAAGGTGACCTGCGACTGGAGACATAGAATTACATTACAGACATAAACAGGCCAGAAACTGTTTTTCAACAACATTTTATTGAATATGAAATTTTCAACAAAAGGGCATCAAAAGAAGCAATTTAGCCTTCAGAAAATGTTGTTCGGCAATCTCAAGCGATCAAACTAAATATAAAATGTGCCATTTTTTTCTGTTTACCTTCTATGAAATTTTAAGTTTTCAACTTGGATCCTAAATAGCTTCAAATGCGCCGTTTATTGAAAGGGAAAATGATTAAAACCAGCAGCATATTCATACTGGAATCATCTTTCATAATGGGGAATCATCTTGATGTGGAGGAGACAGACAGCATTTATATTTGCCATCTGAATCGGGGTGGAAAACACACATTACGCTGCTTGCCACTTAATTTTTGCTCATCATTAATGGAATTAGTTTGACACTGATTGTGATAATTGCCATGTGATATTACACTGCTTATGGTTAGCGAAATTTATGCAGAGCCTTCTCTGCTCCTGTCTGAAAAAAGAAAACAGTTTTGTGTTCAGAAGACCACTAATGGATTTGGCTTTATTTTAGTCTCGCTTCTACTGCCACTTGGAGAGACTGCTCAGTGGCCTCTATTTTTGTTAAAGACCTCCTTTGAACTAAAAATTATTACAATTGCTAATGCTGCTACATAATTATTAGTTGCACCACCTTTAATGTGAGTTTTACCTTCTCCCTTTGCCCACACGTTTCAATCTTTTCCTCTGTGTGCCGTTTTTTATCCCCTCCCCCAGCCCAACCGTTTATTCTATGACTCCCACAGTCATCCCTCATGTTAGGGTGCTTCCCAATCGGAGGGATGTATCCTAGGGAGGCTGTGTCCTTTTTAGACCAGTCCCTCTAAGGCTATACTTCTCCGCTTTAAATTATAGAATGAGACGGTCTAGTAAATCCACATGGCAACAACCCTAGAGTTTTTGGAATTTTGGTAATAAAAAAAGAAGACTTTTAGGGGTAGTCCAAGGGTTCACTTAAAGTAATCATTTTTCAACAGTAAAAGTTACTGTTACTGTTGTTTCTAAAAATATATATATATATGATTTACAGGGCTAGTGTTTCGAAAGCCTAATTTTCTCACTGTTCCTTGCACAATATTATGTTATGGCCTCAAAACAATTTTACCATGCTGCGAGATTTGAACACTTATACTTTTGAATGTTAGCACCAGATATACAGATTCATATGTATGGGTTTTCTAACTCTATGGGTTTCCTTGGTAGCTCACACGATATGGCGTTGCACTTGTGAGGTGAAGTGCTCCGGTACGAAATGACGGTTCAACAAAACAGCTCAAACCCATGTGTTAAAATAGCACGGTTGCACGGTATCACTTCTGCTTTAATTAAAACTATCAGGTAGGTTTAGGGTTGGGTTTGGTGTAGGGGTAGGGTATTTTCTGACACTCCTTGGACATTTCAATTCTGAACCACCACAAAACATACCTGGAGCAATGTTATTAAAATGCCGTAATACTTGACTGTACGTAATAAATATATGTGGCCACGGTCATGTACTGAATGCGCGTTGTAACGCCACTCACTGGATGTTTTACTCTGAAACTGCCATGAAACGAGCAATAAGGTACGTAATGTCAGTATTGCAGAAACGTCATCACAAGCACATGAGCCTGGGTTGTAGTTACATCCAAATTATGTTTGTGTTGTCTTGTTTTGCCTGCATTTTGAGGACGGGCCAATAACCCCGATGAAGAAAGTGGCTTAATAAACATACAAATGTCTAGTTTTTGAAAACTCTAAATGGTTTGGGTGAGGGTAATGTTTAGAAATCATGATTAGCTCGATGTAAAAACAGTGGAAGTCACTGGAAATTCTCCACCATGCTAGAACTAGTACTTAGGTGCTTATTGCCACAATTTCATTTGAATATTTGGGTTGAAATTGTTCTCTGTTGCGAAGGTAATATTTCTTCTTTTTTGACATTGAACTGACGGTTCTTTTGAGCTTAATAGAGTCAGACACATTTTCATTACAGCACTACAGACGTACTTATCTTAAGAGAAACTGCCTTTGTTACAACAAAGAGAAAATTAATACTTCTACCCATAAATCAGATTGCAAAGGCATTCTGTAAAATAATAACAGACATCTAGGTGCTTTCATTCTGAGAGTTACCGACTGCATGTTCTGCATTTTTTTGAAGGACCATAATCCAAAGTCGACACCAAATTATACATAAAGTATAAAAGACAATAGTGTCGAAGTTTGAAAACACATCTTTCACAAAAGGGCCATGATATTAGGATGATTTTTTCCCCTTGCATATATTGTTATAGTAATACTATTGTTGTGGTTTTCTGGACAAATTCCATTATTTTAATGTGCCGTAATACCATGCAAATACAAAGGTATATAAATATGCTAGTCATTCAGATCCATGGTATAAGGAAAGTACTTTGCAACAAAGTACCATCTGACCATCTTGCAATATTGCCAAACTATTTTCCTGATATTTTATTGTTTGACACACTTACTATAATGTTAGGGTTAGGATGAAGGTTTGCTTTAGGCTTAGTTGCATGTAATTTTTAAAAAATTGTTATTACTAAATTAAGTACATGTAACGTGTGTAACTGACACTTGTTATAAAATATAAAATAAGGTGTTTGTACATTGTAAAATATTGCATTGTATATTGTATATTTGCATTGTCAAAGCATTTGCAGCATTGATGCATACAATTAAAACTTGCAAAACGAGTATAGTACAAAACAACATAAACGAAGAAAAGAAAAAAAGTACTTGACAAAGAAATGGCATTAAAGATACATTTACAAGTAAAAGTTAATGAATGTAATTATAACAATTAAATATGAAAGAGCATTAATAAATTTCGCTGGAGACACAGACTGGAGTCATATCACTCAATGGCTCTCATATTATGACAGACAATCCATGTAATAATAATAATAATAATAATGTCCTTATTTAAACAGGCACTGCCTCCTATCTATGCGTTCTCTCCACTGGGACCTGGAACCCAAAAGGCCCAGATCTGAGCAACTGTACGTCCCACTGGGTGAATCAAGTCGCTCAAAAGGTTTGTAGTTCCAGAATATTTCTGTCCTCGCAGAACGAGGAGTAAAAAAAATGTGGCAGTTTTCAGAGCATAACGTCATAAAAATAAAATACTCTCTGGTGCCATATTTTGGAGCTCATTCCTTCTGTTATCACTTGTTAAGATGAAGACACGAAGCCTTCAAACATCCAGTAGGGATCTTACAGATTGATCTTGTGCTCTTTTCAGTGTGCACTTTTGCGTTAATGTGAGATGCTTCCTGTAAATAGAATGGATGTGCACAATGGGACACCAAACTTCCTACTGTACACCCACAAAAATGAACGAAAGTAGAAGAAAAGCTTCGGCCATTGAAACCCTGGAAGTACTTCCAAATGCTCTTCTAAAGTGCTACCAGTTTCTAATGATAGCTGTAATTGCTCACGAGGGCTATTGCTGACTCAGCGTTATGATGTCATAATGGGAGTCAAGAGCCTCGTAGATACAAAATGATATTTTTCAGAGCCATGCTGTGAGGTTAATTTGTGTAATCTCTCAGATCCGGAGCGGGGAAAACGCAGCCAACCTGGCGAACGAGCTGGCCAAACATACCAAAGGAGCCATCTTTGCCGGTGACATTAGCTCTACCATGAGGCTCATGGAGCAGCTGGTGGATATTCTAGACGCTCAGTTACAGGAACTGCGACCCAGCGAGAAAGACTCCACCGGCCGCAGCTTCAATAAGGTATTAATGGGATTTCATTCTCAACATGATTCTTTAATAAGCAGCAGCATGCCTTGGACGTATCAAGTCACTTTGCTTAAAGAAGACTTGCTTCATAAGAATCTTAAACGGCATCAAACTCATTGTGTTACACCCCATCATGCTTTTAGAGAATTAGAATAGTATAAATACACAGACTGGAGTGAATCACTGTGGGTTTTGCCTACTATCCCAAGATGCTTGGATGATGTACTTTGTCTGGTGTGCATCTGTACATGCATTTTCAGGTAATATAACTTATTGTGCAATGGATGAGGACTTTTAGTTGTAGAAAAGCTGCCACAGCAGTTTTTTTTAAATGCATGGATGTAAATGTACGACAAAGTTGAAATGAAAGAACGATTAAGAAATAAGGAATATCTAGGTAATTATTTAGATGCAAATATAAATGGTACTTGACAAAGGAGCCTGTGGTATCACAACAAGGTAAAACATCCCAGTATTAGTGCGCTCTCATACTTTCTCTAGAATAGTACATATTTCACTGCATTTTACAAGTATGCAAATTACAACGCACTCAGAGTGCTCTCTGAAAATAGGTCACATGGAGATGAATGAAGCCAGTTATCAGTCTACAAAAATGATTAGCTGCTTTTATATAAAGCCTATGCCTTGCATTTAAAACGCATATGAGAGACTGCTTGATGTCCTCAAATGCATCCTAACCCTTCCGGTTACAACTGGCCGTTATGTAACATTTACTTCAACCATTAGGAATCTTGAGGGCATACATTCATCAAACATGAGCTTTTTCTTTTTCTTTTGGCTCTATGTTGTCTTCAAACAAAAATAGCCATTAATTCTTCTCTCTTTAGACCAAACCAATTAAGCTTATGAGAAATTTGAATCAAGGATTGGAAAAACTTGAATAAATGATGACAATTTAAATTTTTGTGTGAACTATTCTTTAACAGTAGCGAAAAAGGAGCAATTTATAAAAAATATAGTTGTTCATATATTATATATATATATATATATATATATATATATATATATTGTATAATATTTATAATTTTTGAAAAAGAAGCAGAATAAGGCAATAAGACAAATACGTAAGAAATACAAATTAAACTCATTTTTCAGATACAGTAGGTTTACTTAACATATTTATTTAACATCTATTGTTGGTTAACATTAATGACACGGATAGGTACTTAATTAGGAATGCTGTCCCTTTAAGACGGAAATCATGTATGTAATACTGACACACCTTCAGTTTTCACCCACCTGTTTACGTTCACTTAATCCATAAACGACTGCATTTATGTGAGATACTCTACACGATAGACATTTGGCCTGCTGTGTGTGTATTTGAGCACTGAGAACTGATCGTGCGCTGTATATGCGAACTGAAGAAGCCGAGCGTGCGCGAGAGAGAGCACTTCTATCAGCACAATTCCGCCTATACCGCCTTCACTAACTTTAAGTTAATCGACAATGAATTGTGACTCCCGGGAAACACAGGATGTCTGGTCACCTTATCCCTAACCCTTGGGGTGCTGAGGCCATTGTTTCAGATTGCTAGTTCGCGTTTTGGTAGCCTATCCATCCACTGCGGCTGCCATACTGAGACTAGATATGCAAACGCCCTTTATCCGACTGCAATCCAATTACAGGGACGCACATTTTGAAGGACAAGACAGTAGCCTATAGGATGTATTTTGAATGTCCGGTAGTCCTCAAATAACATTAAAGTCCATCTCTTCTTGTTAACGAAGACGAGGCATAAATTTCGTCATAGTTTTTATCATCAGATATTAGTTTTAGCTCGTCAACGTCTCATCTTAGTCACAGAAAAAGTCCATTCAACCTACTCTTCGATGCTTGAAAAAAGTAGACTTTGTAGAAGTAAAACATATGAATTAAAGTGATTTATTCTAAGTCTTCTGAGGGTACATGGTATGTTGAATTAATTTAGGCTTTTATTCACATATACACATTGATCAACGCATATAAATAGAGCACATCACATATGGCCAAAGGCAGCTCTACATGCTTGATGTGCAAGAACAAACCTCATTGAGCTTTTTTTTATTATATTTGATGTGGTCTATGCATCTGTTCATCATATAAAGTGATCATGTTGAAGACTTGGATTGAACTTTAATTCACTATGTTGTTGTTATGAACTTTTTGAAGCTTCAAAGTTTTGGTTGAATAGACTGTCAATGGAGGGACAGAAATGTCTCAGGTTTTATAAAAAAATAAATATCTTAATTTGTGTTTTGAACAAAAGTCTTATGGATTTGGAACCACATGAGGGTGGGTAAATGATAACAGAATTTTCATTTATAAATGTTTCAATCATTTTTGGTTGAACTATCCTTTTTAGTCGCAGAGCTTGAAGGGCATATTCAAAGTATTTGAAGTAACATTCATTTGGTTAAAGACAGTAACCTCTTTCTCAGCTCTTGTGTTGTCTGTATGGCTTTTTGTGTGTTTCATTCATTAAAGTCAAAGAATTGGGTGGATATCTGTCAACTCAGATGGCTGGAGCACAGGCTGTACGCACTAAGAGTGAAGCCTTTCTTTCAAATTAATTTCGTTGTTACAAGTCAGTGGAAGGGAGTGAAGGCACCCTAGCCTAATTACAAAGAGTTTGGATCCCCCAGTGCACTATAGCATAAGAATGTCATTTGTCTCATGGGAGCCACGTGGACAACGGCCAGTGTAATTTACATGAACGCTACATGTTCCAGGACCAACATCCTTAGTTTAAACATTTACTCTATTACTCTAGACCTTAATACCAAACTCTAAATTCTAAATCAAGGATTTATTTCTCTTGACCCCGCACTGCTTCAGTGAACCATGGCCCTAACCCCTATTTCTGATGTTAACCCCTTACCCCAGCCCCTAATTTCCTATGATAAATCTTAACTCCAAGACTAACATCAGCCTTAAAATATTAACCCTAAACTTTACTTTTAACTTCAAATCCCAACCCCACTCCTTCCTCTGGTACAGACACACAATCCAGATCCTATAGAAGAAAATCTTCACTTTGATTTGGACATCCATTGATTTGGCATCACAATTCAGAAACGTTTATCCCAAATCATCAAATCTAAATCTGACCCCAAAATCCTACATTTAACCTGGATCCCAACCTTTAGCTCTCAGTTTCCTACTCTAAATATTTACCTTAACCATTATTCCTAAACCACACCTGTACATGTAATCTCTGACCCTATCCAACCCCTTCTCTTAGTTCAGCTTCCAAATAAAATCCTCAATCTCCAACCATGATCTTGATCCTATAGAGGTAAACCGCACATTGATTTAGACTCTAGGTCTTCAACCCTGTTCCTGCAATGATTATTTCCAACCTGCTCCAGTTTCCCTGTCCTGTGATTTTTCAAGTGATCCTGAAGAGCTTGATTAGTTGGTTCAGGTGTATGTGCTCAAATCTGCAGGACAGTGGGTCTCCAGGAGCAGGGTTGGGGAACTAGGATTTAGACAGTTGTGTCTACTTATTGTTTTGCATTTGTTTAATTTGCATTTTACTCACAATTTGGAAACCCAACTTGTATCCCCAAATGTGATCCCCAATCTCCGTTCCTAAATCTTTTTCCTGACCCTAATCTAATCTGAATCCCAACTTTTAACCCTAACCCAGCACCCAGTTACTTACCCTAAATCTTTATCTTAACCATTATTCCTAAACCTCACATTTACACCTAATCTCTAACCCCTTCTCTTAGTCCAGCTTCCAACTCCAATCCCCAACCCTGACCTCGATCCCATAGAGGTAGACCACACATTGATTTAGACAGTCTGCATCTGAATATTGTTTTGCATATGTTTAATTTGCATATTTCAGATGGTAATAAGTTACTGATTCTATTTTTACTTGAAAGAGCACCTGAGGGTTTTGAAATCACCAGACCAAATTGTTGTTCTGAAAGCAAGGCCACTCTGTGCACCCCTACATTCATCCGTTACATGATTTCATCATAGCAGATCCAACTGCTATACTGTGTTTCTGAAGTGCTTGTGGATTGGAGAACCCATTAGTACACCATCAACCTTTCTAACTGTGTTTCTTTGGTCTGTTTTTCTTGTGTGTGTCCTCTCTCAAATGAAAAAGCTTCAAAAGCGAGAAAGGACGTGCAGGGCGTATATGAAGGTATATCTGTGCAACGCTACTATGCTCTTCACTTGTTTCTGTACTTTCTCTTCTTCTTTTCCTGCTATTGTTTCTCAGCATGGTCCTGTGTCTTTCATTCTCACTGTCGCCACAGCATTTCACTCCGCCTGTGTCCTCATTCCCAGAGGTTCAATATTTCAAGTGAATTGGAAATTGTGTGGCTGCAATTTTTATGCCCAATTCATACCTTTTATGTGTTTGTTGGTGGTCTGTTTATTTTTATTTTTTTCAGTTTCGTTATTGCTAAAGTCATGTTAATGTCTGTTGACATGTGCTTGAGTTGCAGGTTGGCGGTGCATGTGTTGTTGTTGCGCTCAACTTTTTGTTAAAGGGTAGATGTCAATTTGTGGTGCTTGAAATTTATTGATTGCTACATTGGTTTTGCCACAGCAGTTTGAACTGCTAAAAGATTTTAGACCTAGCAAAAATGATTAAAAAATAAGTATGACAGGAGAGATTATGTAGAGATCACATGAAAGGCAGCATTGTTTTGGAAAGGCAAATCAGTGTAAAATAAATGTGAAACCCTCGACTGTGAAGATGCATATATCATCTTTTAATTTTTATTGGTGTGTAGGAGCAAAAACGATTTAGTATTGAGAGTAGTTAAAAATGACCACAAAAATGTAAGAAATTAGAGCCCATATGAGAAAGAGATGGCAAAACCATCAGATGAGCAATAATTATCAAAGGAGGCGACAAGTATGAATCAATATTTTAGTCTGGTGGTGTGCGTGTGCACAGTCGCTCTGAATGAATAATATAAGAGTGCAAGTTTGTAAGGTAAAACATTTCCAAAATGTGAGTGTTTGTAGAAGTAGGATTTTAAAGTTGTATTCTCAAATGTAACATCCCTTTGTAGAAAACTACTGCATTTTTGGAATTCTCCGACAGTATTAACAGGTGGCTTTTCTTTTCTTTTTTTCAATTTTGTGAATCATATTATCAAGACCTAGAGACATTACAATAAATGTGTTTTCATACTGAAAGTAGGATCAAATGGATGATATTGGAAAATAGTGGTCTGCACCTTCAGTTTTGACGACACAGAACAATGGTGTCTTTATCTTAAAGGACGCTTTGCATTTATAAGGCGTCATGACCAGCTGTCTTTCTTTACCTCATATGTGTCCGTTTACGTGCTTGAAGAGCCTTTGACATTCAATACTGCACTCTTGAGACAGACAGAGCATGGCGGGCTCATTTCTGCAGCCTGTTTTTATGTGTGTCACCTGATAATGACCTAAAACAAAGTGTGCATGTTTGCTTTTATTTGGGCACGGCCAGAGAGCTGCTGATAAAGTCAAGGCTTTGACATTTGACCTTACTACAGTGGTTAGTGCTGACACAAGCGTCTCATTGGGCTGCAGGCTATCGTGGATACAGTCGACAACCTCCTCAGACCGGAGGCTCTGAAATCATGGCGAGATATGAATACCACGGAGCAGACACACGCCGCAACTATGTTACTGGACACCCTGGAGGAAGGAGCCTTTGTCCTTGCTGACAATTTAATGGAACCGGCCATCGTGAAAGTACCAGCCAGCAATATAAGTGAGTTCGAGCAATGCGCAAAACTAATAGATCTGACAACGTAAACAGTGTAGTTTGCAGCTGATCAGTTTGAGTTTGAAAATATGTTTCAGCTGTGAAATTTTAATAACAGTGGCCACTAACACATGGGTGGTTGACATAAAATACTTTTGGGAAGTTGACATGTACTGCAGTGTGGCATGCTAACTCCGTCTTATACTATTTTAAACAGCATTTTTCCAAATCCTTTTATTACTGTTATGCATGCAGCTTTTATGACCTCATATTAATTGAGACTCTACATGGAATATTTCTACTCCATTCATTTGCCACACCGCAGGACCTTTTAAAAATGGAGTGAAGGCAAAAATGCAATTAAAAATAGTGAATAAAGAAATTTTGACCAGTTACAGGGCCTAATGTTTACACTCTCCTGTATAAATTTTTATATTTTGCATACCGTCGATAATACAAAGTCCAAAAACCCACAAATGATCAGTTGAATTCTGGCCTATTAGGTCATGGAGTGAATTCACTAAACATGTGTAGCATATTTTCACATTGTTTCGTGCAAACATATCTCTTTTCTATATATTGTGCCTTATTTAGAAAACTTATTTTCAGATTAAAAATTGCAATTTTGTTAATTATGACAGTACTTATGCATCAGATGATGGATACGATTTTTATATCCAGACAAGCTCATTTTACACATTTTAAACTGCTAGTAAAGTAAGCCATATTGCTGCGGTCTGCTACATCCGCTACAACCTAGCACTTAAAAATTCAGAATAGCGTTATGCAAATTGCGTTCAGCACAGATTTTGTGGGTGCGTTGTCACCGCTAATTGATTTGCATAATTCCTTTAGTGAACCGAACAACGTTAGATGCATGCAAATAAACCGCAATTCATTCTCAGTGAATACCCCCATATTTTTTATTTACATTTTTTTTCTCTCTGTTTCTGCTTGAACTAACATTGTGAAACATCGGATTTCTCTCTGCAGTTCTGGATGTTTACGTGCTGAGCACAGATGGGCAGGTTCAAGATTTCAGGTTTCCCCAGAGCGGCAGGGGTGGTATTTCTATCCAACTGTCTTCCAATACGGTGAAACTCAACAGTCGTAATGGTACATTCCAGACCATATGCAAACTCACTCATATACGTTCATTCGTATCAATTCCAGTGAGAATAACTACATATAAGATCCAGCCGCTCCTGTCACTATGGAGATACAAATGCTCTAATGGTCAGAAAAATATCTGAACATTGATGTGAACATACTGCTCAACATATGTTGTTTTCGACAATCAAAACTTGGTCTGCTGCAGGGTCACTTGGGAATAAAATGCACATACTAAAATTAGGAACGTTTGTGGGGTATATACATTTATTTATGAGATTATCATTTTTTTGATGTACTGTATGTGGGTAAATGTCAGATTTAAGATGATTAAAATTGTACTTTACAAACTATTTCAATGATAAATCATTGCAGTTTTGTTGTCACATTGCAAAATCCTACTCTTAATAGACATCCTTTTAATTGCGCAAAACGTAATTTCTTATTTTCCTCTATTAACTATGAGGTGAAATAACACCCAGACATGTTCTTGACAGTTTTTGTGAGACTCACTGACATAATGGTCTTTAATGAGAAGTAAGGTGTGCCGTTTTCTCTTCGCAGGTGTTGCCAAGTTGGTTTTTGCCCTTTATAAGAACCTGGGGCAGTTTCTAAGCACGGAGAATGCGACGATGAAGCTCGGCCACGAAGCTAACGGACGCAACCTCTCCGTGGCTGTGAATTCCGACGTCATTGCCGCCTCAATAAACAAAGAATCCAGTCGTGTATTTATATCGGAGCCTGTGATTTTCACCCTGGAGCACATTGACGTGAGTGCAAGCAATAAACAAACAAAGGGATCGTAAAAGCAGTGGGATAGCAAAGCAAGACGGCGAATAAAATAAAATAAAAGCAGTCTCAATTCAAACAGCCTACAAGGTCACAGAGGGGTTTATTTAAGCCATCGAACATGAAATTAACAAAGTCTGAACCAATGATTATTACCAGCCTAGACCAAATTCTTAATGAAAACTAATTCGTTTGTCGACATTAGGATGTAAATGATGCAATTTCCTTTTTTTGGAGTGGAAAATTAACTCCCAGATTAGCTATACAATGCAGGATGAAATTACCAGAGGACCAATTATCATCTCGCTTTCTTTTAAAGTGTCAGGAGTGCTCCCAGAGGAGACCGGGCTTGATTTTTGCTCTCTATCAAAGTAATTGTGTGATTTCCACAGACATGCCTTCAAACCATTCTGCCCCCTGTTAGCACCTCATATAATCAATGGTCCCATGCTACATTTCGCAGTCATTTAACCTTATTAGATTCGTTAGTCGTTTATGTGAGAACACACACTGCGCATTCAAAAGATTGTTTGATATGGCCAGTGTATCATTTGTGAAAGAGTGAATGCCAACAGTCAGAGTGAATTACGATGCCGTTTATTATACGGTCATCATCGGAGAGATGGCTACTAAATATCAATTCATTATCGTCTGCTAACTCATGAGGAATGTTTCTGTCTCCTCCTGTCGATTCCAGATGCAACATTACTATAACTCCAACTGCTCTTTCTGGAACTACTCTGAGAGAACCATGATGGGATACTGGTCCACTCAGGGCTGCAAACTCATCCACGCCAATAAAAGTCACACCACCTGCTCCTGTAGTCATCTCACTAACTTTGCGGTGCTCATGGCTCATCGAGAGCTGCTGGTAAGATGCGAGCTTCATAAATATTTAAGCTTTTGTCCGTGCTTTACTGTGAAACCCAGCTGTTATAATATACGCCACCAACACTCATCTGCTTCTCTAAGCCAAACGCTGCCAACTGATAACTCACTGGATTGCAGACGGCTACAAAGCGGCCTGTTTTAGGCCCTGTCCACATGAACGTGGTTATTTTTAAAACCGCAGCTTTTTCTATGCGGTTTTGCCATTCGTCCACACGCAAACGCAGCACCAGTCACCGAAACCGAATATTTTTGAAAACGCCTGCCAGGGTGAAGATTTTCAAAAACTCTGGTTGCAGTGTTATCATGTAGACAGCGAAACCGGAGTTTTTGGCTTGTGACGTCGGAACCTGCGCTGTTATCTCCGCCTACTGGAAACTTTTTCAGGCTTCTGATTGGCCAAAATGGCTTTATGGTTGAGATTATATCGCCACTTGTTGGTTTGGCATGCTCTTGACAGTGTTTCATAGCATACGTTTGCGTTTTCATGTGGACGGAGATTTTTTTTAAAACGGAAGAATGAAATACTCAGTTTATAAAAATACCCGTGTACGTGTGGACATGGCCTTAGTCTACTTTTAATAATAGCAAAAGTTTCTTCAAACAAAAACAGTTTTATGAATTAAACTGTCTGTTTAAAACTGAAATGTCTGTGCCACTAGTGTTACCAAATTGAATTGCAAAAACATAACCACAAACAAATTTGATCTAATTGGCACATGTGCTGTGTCTTGCTAAATTTTGGATTTCAATCTGGACAAAAAAAAAAGATAGAGCAAGGGCAATACTTTTTTTCCCCCCATTAGATCCCTTCTATAATCTACTCAGTTGTGATCTGCATCAACATTTTCTCCCTCCATCTCTATACGTTTGTGTCTCAGGGTGCAGATAAAGTCCAGGAGCTGTTGTTGAGCGTCATCAGTCGTGTGGGAATCGTGGTATCCCTCATCTGTCTGGCCATGAGCATATTCACCTTTTGTTTCTTCCGTGGGCTGCAGAGTGACAGGAACACAATCCATAAGAACCTGTGCATCAACCTTTTCATCGCTGAGCTCATCTTCCTCATCGGAATCGACATGACGGAGCCCAGGGTAACGTTACCTTGAATGGATGTTTTCAGCTAGTCTCATGGAAATGTCTAGAGACGTGTCCACAACATCCAAGACAAATTTTTGAAGGGAGTTCCAGTGAGTTCGAGCTGCATTTTGACACATGATTATAGCTTTTCAGGATTACTGGATTTTTGTCAGTAACTTGATGCTTTTTGTCCGGAATTTATTTAAAGAAATGCATTTCAAATTAATGTTTTATTTTTTTATTATTCATTATTATTTTTATTTAAATATATTTTTATTTATATATTGTTATGGTTGAACTTAAAAATGCCAAGGTTGTTCAACTTTTAGTAAAAAAAAAATTATATTACTGAAAAACTACCTTATAGTTTTTGACTACTACTAATATGAAGAAAAAAAATGTTTGTTGAGCATTTTACTTCCAAAGGCCTGGAAAGGCTTTACACTTTTTGTTGGGACATGACTGTGGGGATTTTCTCCCATTCAGACACAAGGGCATCAGAGATGGGGCCTGGCTCGTTGTTCCAGTTCATCCCAAATGTGTTCAGTGGGGTTCAGGTCTGGGCTTTGTGTAAGCCAGTCAAGATCTTCCACACCAGTAAACCATTTCTTTACAGACTTCGCTTTGTACACAAGAGGCATTATCATGCTGAAACAGAAAAGGCCCTCCCCAAACTGTTGCCAAAAAAGTTGGAAGCACACAATTCTCTAGACAGTTGTTTTATGCCGAAGCATTAAGATTCGTCTTTGCTGGACTTAAGAGGCCCAACCAAAGCCATTAATTAGAAAAGGGTCCACATACTCTTGGCTACGTACTGCATAACTACACTACCTGACATTTTTAGAGCCATTAAATCAAAACTTTTGTTGAAAAGATGTTATAAAAAAATAATTTTGAAACCCACATAAATACAAAGTTTGTTTGTCTATTTATTATTATTTTTTTTTACTTTGTAAATTAACATAGATAGAGTCAGTAACTTGAATTTGTTTTTTGTGTTTAATTTATGAAATAAAATGAACATAGTTTAACCTTTTATATAGTGAACACATTTTAAATGTTTCAATTTAAATCAAACTAGATAATGTCAAAATGTTGTTTAACTGTCCTTGGTTAGTAAAAACTAAAAATAAAATGTTAGTAATAAATAAATAAATGTCATTAAATTGCTGAAAGTTATCAAATTGTCATTAAATTGCTGAAAGAAATAAAACAGAATTAAAAAGCTAAAAAACAGCCATTAAATTAAATTAAATTAAATTTGAAATTAAATTAAATAAATTAGTTTTTAACTTGGTATGTACACAAGATAAACTAGATGTTCAACTTTATTTGTCTTTGACCCTTTTGTCCCACAGATGGCCTGCTCCATAATTGCAGGAATCCTGCATTACTTTTTTCTGGCATCTTTCGCGTGGATGTGTTTGGAAGGGGTTCAGCTCTATCTGATGCTGGTGGAGGTCTTCGAGAGCGAATATTCACGCAGGAGATATTTCTACATTACGGGATACCTCCTCCCCGCTGTGGTCGTGGGCGTTTCTGCTGCTGTAGACTACAGGAGCTATGGCACTAAGAATGCGTAAGAGAGCGTTTTCTTTTTTTCTTTTTTTAAAATGCAGTGCTGTCTGCAGGAGCGTACCACAATCTGATGGTTCCATAGGTACCACACACACAGGAAGTCTTCAGAGGATGCCTTACAGTACCAAATGTGGTTTCCAGGCAGTGCTGGATGCGTTAGTGTCTTTTGTTCAAAGAGTCTCTGGTGACCTATTGTTTGTAAATGCTCTCTATCGGAGACGAGGGCCGCATGAGAAAGAGGCTTTTACGCAGATTAATGGCAGTGCTTCAGCCCTCCATGGGCTCTTGGGTTGCTCCTTATAACACATAAACAGGTGGTAGTGTGTCGGCCCTGTCTTCCACATCACTAGTCTTTTAATACGAAGCACAGTGGTTTGCTTTAGATATGTTATGAAAGCGATGCTTGTAGCATTGCATTTGTCTCTGATGTTTTCTACGGTTTCTTAGAGCACTGTAGCATTGACGATTTATATGATCAGTGTTTCCTGCTGGAAGTCACACTCTAGAGAAACTGGATCCGTTACAGGAAATTACTGTCTTTGAGCAGCGTTTAATAAACGAATGCGGAATCAACCCATATAAAACATTGTAACGTAACCCACATGAGCCTGCTCAGTAAAAGATACTGTCCTTAGTGTGTATGTTTATTGGTTATGTTTGTAAAGTCAAGCATCACTAATACAATTGCTCATACTTTAGGTTCAGGATTCAAACAAAAAAAACCTACTAAATTTCATGTGTAATTGCATTCCAACATGTGTCAGAACGCAAGTATTCGCTTGTTAAGACTGACTTTCCGGGTCCAAACACTTTATCAGATTCCAAAAGCAAATGGTGCTCAAATGTACACTCAGGGTGTGCTGTAATACTACCAAAATATCATGATCCTAACTTTTATCTGCATACCGAAATCTCAGATGACCTGGTGGTGATTCATCTTTTATGGATCTTTAAAATATTGGTGCCTGGGATGCAGTGAGCCCGGAAGCTGTAGTGTACACCGTGCATAAAAGCATAGCTTAAAGAGATAGTTCACCCAAAAATGAACATTTTATCATCATTTACTCACCCTCATGTTGTTCCAAATTTATATGAATTTCTTTCTTCTGTTGAACACAAAAGATGATATTTTGAAGAATGTTGGGAACCAAACAGTTGCTGTAGCCATTGACTTCCATAGCATGTTTTTCCATACTATGGAAGTCAATGGCTACCAGCAACTGTTTGGTTACCCATTAAATTACATGAAATTAATTGATATCAAGTGATGACAATAAATAGTGCCCATGCCATTATCTTTACATCAACTTCTAACACAATCAGAAACAGTTAAAAGAGAATTTCGCTCGATAGTTGATCAGCCCTCCAATTTTCACCTGGTGGGCCAATTTTGTATCTAGAAAGTGTAGGCAAGCACCACTTGTTAAAGAACATGTTAGAAATCTCGTTTTTGTCTAAAGTAACAGGATGACTTAGACATATTTTCTATAAACTGCGCAACTTGTGTTATCTTTGCAGATGCTGGCTCAGGATGGACAATCACTTCATCTGGAGTTTCATCGGGCCCGTTACCTTCATTATTATGGTGCGTTCAGTATCTACTGACCTTCACATGGCTTAAGATTGTATATGGCATATACATGCGTCAGGTGAAAGAACAAACAGGAGAATGTTTCTGTGCAGTGCAAGACCGTGTTTCAGAGTTTAAAGAGTAATTGACAAAATCCTCCCGTGCAAAAACATCGAGCTGCCTTTGTTTCTTCAGTCTTATTCAACAGATTGCAGCCCATTGATTTCTGCTTAGATCGGTTCAGTCTCAACAGACCCAGTCAATGCGGTTTGCAGAGAGGTTCGGAAATGCTGCTCTTAAGGCTTTTTTTTTTTCTCAGGGATCGTTTTGATACAGCTTTTTCAGCGTGGCATCAGAGCACAACATTATCCTCAAATGATACTCAGCAGGGCGCTTTCAAGCTACGGGGTCGAGACAACCCCTCGGGATGTGGATAGAAGAAATGGCAATGTCAAATAATACAAATCAAAAACGTATATTGTTCAACCTTTTATGGAGGTAGCTGATGACACTACAGAGTTTGTTTGACGTGAGATGACGGTCATATGGCACACGGGATTGACACAGCTGCAGTTTAAGAGTGCTGTTATTTGTGAACCAAGAGATTAGAGCCTCAGACTAGATTGGGGAGGTTAAGAGGAAGTAGGCCTGAGAGAGACAAAGATAGAGAGAGTCTAGCAGGTGGTATTCACATCTGTCTGGCTGTTTGTTTGCCTTCTAAACTCTGGATGAAAAAATAAATCGTCTTCCTGAAAATGGAAGGACAAGAGGAGATGTTTGTGGAGGGTTGACTTTATTATATCCTTTATGCTTATGTAAACAGACCAGTTGATCTTCCACAGTGATGGAAGCTCTGTTTATTGGAAAGACTTTTAGCTGAAAACAGATTTAGAGACACACAGGTGGTTCAAACACTGGTTTGTGCTGCAATAAAATATAGAAGGTAATTAGAGAAGTGGCCTGAAACATCTGCATCTGCTTTTAATAATCAAACACTATGAAATGATCTAGAGATTATTTAAATATTTAAGAAAAATTCATAAATAAAATAAACTGAGCATTTCCATTAAATGGAATCTGTCACGTGACATCCTAACCATAGAGTAAATGTAAAAGCAGACATAGAAAAAACAAATCAAAATCTCAAACCAATTTAAATATAATTATTACTGTGAACATTGAAACGGAACATTTACTTAAAATAATTTGACTACAGAAAATGTGATTTGCTGTGACTGTAGATATTTCTATTAAAATGTTACCTTGACTAGTTAATAATTCTGTGGATATGTCAAATTTATTGGATGTACAACTATTGGATGTATGTGCGCAATTAAAATAAGGTCATAAAAGCTGAATGTGTAATATATAAAAATAATTATCAAACTGCTGTTGTATAGTTATAAATGGAGTATAACATATCCCTATTCTCAACGTTTCAAACTGATTTTAAAGAGGCTGACAGACCACGAGATACTGCAAACAATGCACATTTTTGCCGCTGCTCTTAGAGGAAGTCTTACAAACCCAGAGATCTGCTCGTTTAGCCACTGCAGTGCTGCATGAGGCTTGATGTATGTGTTTGCCATTTTGTTGATAATCAGAATACGTGTTCCAGTCATCAGCGGCAGGAAGCTTGTGACCCTTTATGAAGCTGATTTATTGTTGCGTGCTCTGCTCGGACAGCAAGCAGGACTCGTAGTCCTCAGGCTGCTTGACAATGCTAGATAAAGCACAAAGACCAGAAACTCTCAGGGGAACGCGAGACCAAGGTTTCCCCCAACCTCTGACCCCTGATTCTCAGCAGATTGGCTTTGTCCTTGTCAATGAGAGAGCCAGAGCGTGTCTCATTATTCAGAGTTTCACCCATTCCACCGTGCAGAGGGAAAGAATAGTGTGATCCTGTTCAATTAGTTGAAGCCCATTGTGGTTCTCATTATTCTACATCTATTTTCAGCTTCCTCATGCCCGATGCTGCAGCGATGTAGAGCTCTATGAATTTCACAGCTAATCAAGTCCCTTTTTCCACCAATAGGGTGCCTGTCTTATATGCAAGTGTTTTGCACCGTTTTCTACCACAGAAAAGTCGATTATGAGCCAGAAACATTGGCTTTACATTTGCTGTTAATACATTCTGGTCTCCAACAACATGAGTGCTGATGTCTATTTTAACAAGCAACACTATCTTCAACTCAGGTTCAATGGAAACACATACCTGTGGCAACATTTCTTGTGCGTTTTGTGACACTTTCAAAGTGAAACGTCTTGTGAGTGGCGCTAAAAACGTGTTCAGTTTGAATCTAAAACAAATGAGTGTGAATCTGCCAACATTTTACTCCAATTAATTTGATTTGATTTTTGCGTGTATTGCGGTAGTTCAGAAATGTAATGTCCAATGAGTAGCTCTAAAAAAATTGTTTAAAAATAGCATACCACCTAAACTAAACCCTACCCTAAACCTAACCAATTGTGCTAACGCAAGCAGATGTGAGATAAACCTCAAAGAGCAACAAATGCAATTTTAGTTCACTTTTACAAGTCTTTGAGCTCTTTTATCATGACTCGTTTTTTATCAAGCACTCAGCATTTGCATGTGCATTGCTGTACCAGGTGAGCTACCAAGCAAGTTTACTACATTAGGGAAAAAAATTATATTGGTATGTAAATTAATTTCAGCATACATATATGGAGCTGGTAATGTCATGCGAGTGTTAAATTTTAATCTTTTAAGTTTTACAAATAATGCGCTATTGTAGAAGCGTTTTGAACATAACTGTAACAACGTTCGTAGGTCGGGAAGAAGGAGGCGGGAACCGGTGAAAATTCAAACAAAACTTTAATAAAATAAACAAACACAAAATAGCGCGACATCCCCTCGCGGACGACTGTTGCGCACAAACAGAACCAAAACACAAAATAAAGTCCAGGCCTGGTCCTCTCTCGTCTTTCACTGTCGTCACTCCACCTTTTATCCTTCCGGAGCTCCTCTATGGGAAGTCAAACAACCCAAATGTGGGACGAAACAGCGCGGTATTAAAGTGTTCGCGCCGCGCTGACCTGGCATAGGCGCGGCTCAATGGACCGAGCTGCGCGACCGACTCGACAGCGCAGAGAGGACGTGTTTACTAGCGCCCCCGAACTGACAGCGCGGCGCTGATCAGTTACAACAGTGCAGCGCGAACGTTACTCTTCTTCTTCTTCTTCTTCTTCATGTTTTATGGCGGGTGGCATCCAACGTTAAGGTGCATTACCGCCACCTACTATGCGAACATTACTCTCCGCAGAAGTTTGTGTTTTTTTCCTGCACATAACATATTGAAGAGTTATTGCATTTCTTTTGCTTATTATCTTTCATATTACTACATGTAAACAGTAGTGTTAGCTACTTTGAAGCACGTATAGCCTATATTTAGTAGTCACGTTTACAGCAGAAACTTCCATTAACCTCTTAGAATTGAAATATTTCGTTCATCAAGGCATATTTAAGTAAATTTTACATTTAAGGATATTTGTGTAACTGTAGTATATGATTATGCTTGGGAAAAAAAAAGAGTAAAATGTACTTATACTTTTCTGTCGGGACATACATTTTCCCTTATGGAAATACGGAAATTAACAACGGTTTTACTATAGAAAAAGTGAAGTAACCATGGGTTGATTGTCATTTTTTTTAACTCACAGTTTAACTACAAATGTATGGTTAAAAGGTTAGTGACATAAAATGGTTCATTTTAATGTGTTTTCCGATAAACACAATGCAGTGCAAAATTCTAAATACATCATATTGAATTTACATACACTGTACCTAATTTTTAAAAGTTTTTTTAATTAATTAAAATTTATTTATTTAAATTGGAGTGTAGAGAAAAGCCTTACAAACCGTATCCATTATATAAAATTGCAATGTTAAAGTTAAATAACAACGTTCCCTTTACTAGAGACAACAAAAATATATATACTAGGCTATTTAATAATAGTTCAAATTTAAAATGGGCAATATTGTGCTGAATATAGAACTTGACGACAACAACAATAATAACTAATTACAAAATAATATATATATCTATATATATACACTAGAAGCTGGGTGTGCTCCTCAAGAGGACTATGGTATCGAACATTTATTAAAGTCTTATATATGTTATATTTGCAGTTTTTCAAACTACAACTTTTTACATGTAGTAAAAAGGTAAGCAAAAGAAATATAATAACTTAATACTGATTTTCTTTATGTTATGTGCAGGAAAAAAACCACAAACTTCTGCGGAGAGTAATGTTCGCATAGTAGGTGGCGGTAATGCACCCTAACGTTGGATGCCACCCGCCATAAAACATGAAGAAGAAGAAGAAGAGTAACGTTCGCGCTGCACTGTTGTAACTGATCAGCGCCGCACTGTCAGTTCGGTGGCGCTAGTAAACACGTCCTCTCTGCGCTGTCCAGTCGGTCGCGCAGCTCGGTCCATTGAGCCGCGCCTATGCCAGGTCAGCGCGGCGCGTACACTTTAATACCGCGCTGTTTCGTCCCACATTTGGGTCGTTTGGCTTCCCATACTCCTCCGTGGGACTCGAGACCGGTGAGTGGTGCAGGTGTCGCTCATCATCAATTACTCCACCGGCCTCACTCCATTCCCTCACTCCATTCTCAAAAATTGTCTTTATTAATTGATAATCTGCCCCTCTAATTATCATTTGTGTGAAAAATAAATAAAACTCGTTGGTGTTTTACTACTACCAGTGGTCATTTCAGCTGGAAACTGCAGTGCATTGTATGTATAGGTATGACCATGCTGGTCCAGTTAACAGCATAAACTGGTTTGTAAATTCATTTCAACAAAGCTGTTTATACTGGAAAAGCCTGGTATGCTAATGCAACATTTTTTTTTATTCTGGTTTGTTCTGTTCTTGTTCTGTACTGTTTTTGTTTTGTTCTAAAATAATTTAATTTACAAATTAATTTACTTTAATGTGAATTGTATTATGACCGTTGCATCAAAAGCAGCTTGTAATGGAATAAAGACTCAAGAGTAAATTAAATCTCATAACAGCTGGCAAAAAAGTACCTAATTGCTTTGTTTATAAACAGGTTAGAAAGTAATATAGTTTGTTACATCATCATATGGCTCTCAAGTCAGTGAAAACGTGGTGGAAAATGAAGGCACTGATACTGAGAGAAGTTCGCACATCCACCAGGCGAGCACTGGCTTAGGGAGGACAGCCTCCACCGCATTTGGTGGAAAAGATGTTGCTCAGCTCTGTGGCACCAGGCATATAAGATCCATGAAAACCAGGACACTGAGCAAATGAGTAGTCGGGAACCATTAGTGCGTGTGAGTGACGTTAAAACACGCTTGGACTGTGACACGTTTGCATCATGCAGACAGTTCCATCTGCACCTTAAATATTTAATCTGGTTCAATCGGAGTTCAAGACACACACACACACACACACACACACACATATACAAACACATGCATCCAGCTTTCTCTAGTAGAGTTGAGGTCTTCTGCTTGGCTAGCGATTCAGGGATGGTAGGGTTTGTTCAGGAAAAGCTCTTTTCGGAGCGGAGGAAGCCCATGGGACAGGGAGGAACAAGGAGCTTTAGGAGTGTAGTGGCTGCTGTGCTAGGTTACCACTCCCTCTGCTGAGCGTCCTTACTTCCTCTCGTCTCATCAGATCACTGTCAGTGCTCTGGCGGCGTGAGAGGCCTTTTATAGCTCTGTGCTCATAAATTCGGGCACAAGGGCCGCAAAAAACAGGCATAACCCCGCCACCCCCTCCTTTCTCTCTCTCTCTCTCTCTCTCTCTCTCTCGCCGTGATGTCTCTGAGAAACCGTGGCGCTTGATTGCATGAGTAGCACGTTATTGATCGCCATCGCTGTTTTGATGGCAGAATGATGAGCTTGTGCGCCCGAACAAGGAGCTGAACTGAAGAGCTTGTTTGAGCTGGTGACACCGCCACTTACGAGAGCGGCCGCAAATGATAGACTGCTACGTCCTCGCCTGTCTGTGCTCCAGAAAATGGATTAGACCAGAAAATGTTCCGTCACCACATAGTTGTCCCACATAGTTGTAGCTATTGGGAAGTCATTTTACACAGTACGTGATAAAGTATGACCATTGCATTACTTTTACAAGGTCCCTCTCGCGCTGTGTATGAGTGTGTGACTTCAATGTCCATGAATGTTTTAACATTGCAAATGAAACAGAACAGATTAGCGATTGCGTATCTATTGTAAATGGATAAAAATTTTAAAGCACAGAATATGTTTTTGTTTTGATTTGTAGATAAAAGACCCTGAACACTGATTATTTTTAAACTTTTTTTTTTCACTTAGCAAAAATCAGCAAGTACACTTATATTTCAGTCCTAGAGAGCAATTGTTAATCATATTTACTAGGGAAAAAAATCATTTCAGTTTTTTGCAATTGTGTCAATAAATGGAAAAAAAATGCATTGCTTTCAAAATTGTTTTTTCTTTTCATATGAATCAGATCTATGAAAGATTATTTGCTCCGCTAAATAATTGGATGGAATTTGAAATAATTTTCCATTTTATATATTTAACATTCTGAGCACTTTGGACATTTTTGATAATTACTTTTACACTGAGCAAAACATATTTAGGTTATTTGCTATTTAAATAGAATTTATTTATTAACTAATGTAATATCTGAGGATATTAAATAACTTTTATATATATTTTATTGAATAGCCTAATATATATATGGATAATATCTGTGTCTATAAGTTTGTTAAAACAAACACAAATATGTTAACAGTAAATACACCATGCAATCAGTCAAAATGATAAACACATGAGTTGTAGTGTATTTTATATGTTTGTTTGCAATGCTGAATGATTCCCTGCTAAAATTAATACAGTGTAACACAGTAAATATGCATTTTCTGTTCATTTTCACAGACTGAGGGATGTTTTCCCTCTGATGTGTTGCCACAATTGTGGTCCATAGATGTTTGTATATGAAATATCCCGGAATATTCCTTAAAGTTATATATTTTCTTTTTCTTTTTTTTCGGAGGAAATCTCAAATATCCATTTCTCCATGTGTGGTCTCTGAGCTTCTCTAAACTATTTGTGTTTTCATTCTGCAGTCAAATGGTTTTATTGCTTTTTTGTATTCTTTTATTGATATATAGCGACACTGTATTTGCCGCCGGTCTTCTTGGCTTTGTCTCGCAATATGCCAGCTGGTTATTGTATTAGGCACTGGCTGAAGGGATGCTTAGATGGCTGTTTTCAATTAATGCTCCTAATAAAACTTCTCTTTTCTAATCTTTTAAGTTTCGTTTTTGTTTATTAACAAAGGTCTTTTGCTTTCGCACAGCTCAATCTCATCTTCCTGCTCATCACGATGTACAAAATGATGAAACACTCTACATCGCTGAAACCTGATTCCAGCCGGCTGGAGCACATCAAGTAAGTCACATTATTTCCCCCATGATATTTCAGCTCATGTGGAGTCGAAGTGTGCCGCCACACACTAAGAAAAAGCTGCATTCCTAATCTAACATTTAGAACAGGAACAGACATTGCTTCCTGGTTACACTGTATGTAGCAGCTACAAAACTGTAGTTTTTTGCTTGGATAAATTTAAGTGTGTCAACTAAAGGGATTCAGATGGACTCCAGACAGATGTTATTCTCTTCAGGTGCACGTCGTCTATTAATGTGAGCAATGGCCAGAGAGGCACGTAATAATTGAGACAGGCTCAGCGCTGTTCCTCCTTTACAATGACCACAAAACTCTTTTTTGGAACAGACCCCTGTATTCAGAGTCTGCCTCCAGAGTGAATTCAGATGTGTGTGTGTGTGTGTGTGTGTGTGTGTGTGTGTGTGTGTGTGTGTGTGTGTGTGTGTGTGTGTGTGTGTGTGTGTGTGTGTGTGTGAAGACAGCGCAGTCAAAGCACTTCCATGTGTTTCCTGTTGCAAAGAGGGATATCTCTTTCTGTAGCGGTTTCTGTGCTGGCTGACCACACAACTCTTTTGTTTTGTTTTTTGCTGGCATGGCAATGCATGTCTTACTGGTTATATTTGATAGTGTATGACATATTTTCTATTGTTTTGAAATTGTGATGTGTATGTATGTATATATATATATATATAAGATGTTGTTTTTTGTCTTTTTGTGTGTTTCCAATGATTATGGCACTTTCCATGAATAAGCCTGTAAAGCTATTAGATATGTTAGATATTTATGTTATGTTAAAATAATAATTGCATGAAGAGGAGCTAGCTTGAAAAACATATTTCTTTATATGTTATGCTTTAACATATTTTTAGGTTTGTTAGGTTTTGTATAATAATAATAATTAGCTATGTATCATATTTTGCACACAACCCTGTTACAACCAGATTTTTATATATATTACAAAAAAAACAAGGTTATGAATAAAATAGGTTAAAAAAATTATAATTATATATATATATATATATATATATATATATATATATATATATTTGGGGGATAACACTTTACAATAAGATTTAAATGCATGCATTATCTAACATAAACCAAGTTTAATAAATGTTTTAAAATGTATGACTCGTTGCTAGATTTTGTTAGTTAGTAAAAATATAATTGTCCGTTGTTTGTTCATGTTGGTTCACAGTATATTACACAGTATATTATATATGTATATATATATATATATATATATACAGTAAATAATGTTAACAAATACCAAACTTTCATGTTTAAAAATGTATTCGTAAGTGTTGAGTATTGTTTGTGGTTAGTCTGTGTGGATTTTTTCACAAATCAGAATTTAAAGCTTTAGCCAAGTCCCCAATTTTGGTAACAAAAGTTTCTGTAACCCTTGTACCCTGTTCATGGAAAGAGCCTTTATATGTTTTGGATTTGATATACGACACTGATTGCATTTAATGTGATCTTTCAAACTTAACACACAGCCATTGGGTTAATATGCATATTTTATTAGATTTAACAATGATATAGACATGAATAACACGCTTGAAAAATATGTTGCTCACAGGCGTTGTGTCGGCCGTATGTTGTCTAAATGTCTCTTCACCCATCACCACAGGGCAAGAGGAATCAATCCGCTAAACTCTGTTCTCATTGCAGCATGTTTCATGTTCAGCAAGCTAATCTGCAGCATTTCATTTCATTTCTCTATTTTCCATTTCCCCTTGTTTTTTTCTCTCTCCTTTCTTTCTCTTTCTCTGTCCTCTCTCTGTTCTCTTACCCAAACCAGTAATTATCGCGTCTGTGATGGCTATTATAATTCTGATTTGCCTGGGTAAGATTCACCGTACACCCGTAACTTATGTCGCTCATAAAACATTACTGCCGCATTAAATAGTGTAAAACGGCAAAGTACTGGCACATTTGGCCTGAGAGAACCATCTTTAGGCTCTTTAGAAATCGGCATAATGCAAAGCAGCATGGGAAAATTAAATGTACTTGGCAGTCTGTGTAGAAAAAAAGAAAGAAAATTTACAGTGGCGGTAAAGTTTTATGAAAAGTCCTGTCATGTAATAATCAAGTGTGTTAAAGACGACATGCAATCAAAATGGACCCTATTTACTTTCTTAATAAATGTCCACTATTGTACAAGTTATTCTAAAGAAATATATATACATTTTCTTCCTCTGAGATAACATTTTGTTTCTGCTTATGTGACCATATTAATAATAATCGACTAAAACCTTGTCCTAACCAGATACAAAGATCCCAGTGAGAATTAATTTTCACCACAATTATACTGCTTTGTGATGCAAAACAACCAAATGGAAGATATTTTATGTTTAATATGTAGCTTTATGGAGTTCAATCAATAATAAAAATGTATCTAATTATTACAGAAGTTAAATACGTTGTGATGCAGTTTCATGTTGTCTTTAAGAATTCATAACCTGGACAGTTGCATTTATTCAGGTATTTTTGTCTTGTCACAGCTGAGGACAACAACAGTGCCTAACTCTTTTTTTTTTTTGTCCAGCTTTATTTGATTTTTGAACTTCAGAATTCTTACATTTGGACTTTAATGCTAATCCAGCTGATTTGCCTGATCTAATGTTGTCTCTCTCCTCTGCTGGCCATGCTCTCTAGCTATGAAGATAATAAACCATTTATCAAGTAAGAGCGTTAGCTAGACATCTGTGCCACAGCCTCATGGTTGCTCCCCTTGTCATTTTATTGTCTGTTTGCTGGGCTCTTCCAGAAGCGCTGTCTCTCTGTGCTGCTCATGCACACTGTCTGTCTGTCTGTCTGTCTGTCTGTCTGTCTATGGCTTAACTGGTTTCTTAATTTTTATTCCGCCTGGACCGTCTTAAATTGCTGTACATCTTAACTCCATACCCTCATATCCTTAAATCCTTCAAACCCATAACCTTTTCTACCCTCCTCCTCCTCCTCCTCACCCTTCATGTTATTCCTACCCTCGAACTTTTAGACCTCCTCACACTGACACATTCTCGTACACTTCACATGGCAAACCCCCAAATATATTCCTCCCCTCAGATGCCAAAGTGCTCATTGCCTTCATTTTCTCATTCTCATTTCTCAAAGTGTCATGTCCTTATTTACCACATATATGAGTACATGATATATCAGTGGTTATTGACTTATCAGTGTAATATTTAGATGTATTATTTATTTACTTACTTAATTACTTATTTACGTACAGTCCATATTGTATATGTTAGCCGGAATTGCAAATTTAACTGTGTATGCTAATTGTCACATATATGTTATTAAATGTTAATAATTTAGATTAACTTTACTCTCATAGCACTCACTTAAAGTTTATCTATCTATCTATCTATCTATCTATCTATCTATCTCTCTATCTATCTATCTATCTATCTATCTATCTCTCTATCTATCTATCTATCTATCTATCTATCTCTCTATCTATCTATCTATCTATCTATCTATCTCTCTATCTATCTATCTATCTATCTATCTATCTCTCTATCTATCTATCTATCTATCTATCTATCTCTCTATCTATCTATCTATCTATCTATCTATCTCTCTATCTATCTATCTATCTATCTATCTATCTCTCTATCTATCTATCTATCTATCTATCTATCTCTCTATCTATCTATCTATCTATCTATCTATCTCTCTATCTATCTATCTATCTATCTATCTATCTCTCTATCTATCTATCTATCTATCTATCTATCTCTCTATCTATCTATCTATCTATCTATCTATCTCTCTATCTATCTATCTATCTATCTATCTATCTCTCTATCTATCTATCTATCTATCTATCTATCTCTCTATCTATCTATCTATCTATCTATCTATCTCTCTATCTATCTATCTATCTATCTATCTATCTCTCTATCTATCTATCTATCTATCTATCTATCTGTCTGTCTGTCTGTCTGTCTGTCTGTCTGTATGTCTGTCTGTCTGTCTAAAAATGCAAATCCGTCTTTTATACTGTGCCTTATAATCTTGTCAAAATTCACGGTTTTAAAGTAGGTATTATTTAGGTATTATTAGTTTTTATTGTATAGTACTGTTTTACAAATTATTAATGTAGTGTTATGTATTTTTTTAGCTATTTATTTATTTTTAGACACAATAGTATTTTAATATTAGCCATTTATGAGTTATGTGCCATAACTTGGAAGAAAAGAAAAAAAAGATCAGCTTATTCGCATCGGATAGAATTTTAAAATCAATGCATCCTTAGCTCCATCCATTATAGCCCTCATTTATAGATCTCAATGCACCCTTACCCTCAAAATAAATAAATAAATACAATTCTTTATACCGTAAAGCCATCCTATTCCTCATGCCTTCAAATCCTCATATGTTGGTTTATTGTTTCATCTCTCCTCTGATGAAAGCAAGCTCTATCTCTTTGGTTCCTTAGCCAGCCGAGACCTGTTGTCAGCGCCTCCTCCACTAAAACGGACCAATCAGAGATGATTACTGCGCTTTCTCTTTCCCCTCCGTCTGAATGCAGCCCAGTATCATGCGTCTATACCCAGTATGGCATGCGAAAATATCTCCACACTCCACTGCCTCAAAACTGATTAAACCTTCTTTACGACAATCCCGCTTCCATATGGAATTGATTAACCTCTCAATGATATGTTCCACTGCATTTTCCATCTACTTGTGCCTAAGATGTCAGTCCAAATGATTTTCAGAACCTGTGTTTGATTTGTATTGTTTTGCTGAGATTGTGATGCTGTAATGATTTCTGCTCTTTGCTGAAGGAAATGTCCCTCTCTCATGCCTCATTGTTTCTCTTTTATGTGCTCTCGAAGGTCGTGGGTCATGGGCGGCTTTGTTCTGCTGTGTCTCTTGGGCCTGACCTGGTCATTTGGGTTGTTCTTCATCAGCGAGTCGTCCGTTGTCTTAGCGTACCTCTTCACCATCTTCAACACGTTCCAGGGCATGTTTATCTTCACCTTCCACTGCCTGCTTCAGAAGAAAGTAAGTGCTTCCTGAAATATATTGCTCCACCCGAGCTGCGGCAGCACTCGATTTTAACGAGAAGCGCATGTTAAAAAGTTCACTTGAAAAGAGAGAAAAAAAAGCATTCCTTTGAACTGCAGGTTCGGAGAGAGTACAGCAAATGCCTCCGACACACGTACTGCTGTAGCGGGATCACGACAGAGAGCTCACACAGCTCCACAAAGACCTCAACAACACGGACAAGCGCTCGCTATTCCTCTGGAACTCAGGTACAAACACTACTGACCCAATTTCCATTGTTTTCATTTCGACAGCTTTTAATGCGACACATTTCAGATTGGAATGAAGTGAAACTCTGTGAGTGCTTCCATCTGCTCCAAATGTGCACACACACAGGCACAGATCTTTTATGTATGTTTTTTTTTCTTCTTGTTTTTGCTGACAGATTTGAGAGATTTCATTTGAACGTCTTTATGATAGATTGTATTATATTGTAGTGAATCATATAAATAGTTGTGTATGATATGCAATGTTTAGATAGGGGCCTGGTATACTATAATATTTACTTTCTAAACTGTATTATGATATCATATGTAGCATTTGTGTTGTAAATATTTTTCATATTGGTTTATAGTTGTAATGTGAAAATAATGAGTGGAGAGTATTTTGTTTTTCTACAACAAAAACTTCCCAAACAAATAAAAAAAAAAATCTGTGAATTTTACTTAAAAATAATTACATGTGTAGATAAATGTTTAGAGTATATACGATGATGATGATGATGCATCATCCATTATATTAAGTCACATAAATGGAAAACACAACATTTATATAGACTATGCATTGAATATAATTTTTAACTATTTATTTTCTTAAAAGTGTTGTGTCAAATATCCTATGTAAATGTATGCATTTTGACAATTTAGTTAAATAACAACAGACAAATCATATACTGTAACAGTATAAGAGTAGAACAGGAGCTTATGCAATTTTAGGAAGTATTTACTGCCTACATTTTTACTATTTAAATCATTAAGCATTTTAAATAGATTTCAGATCTTCTCAGACCAGATATTTCAGATCTTGCACTCCAATTCACAACAGATTTTGAACAATAATGAATGAAATCACCTAATACATGAAATTTTAAAATAACTTATAATAATAAAAAAACATATTAAATAATAAAAATACAAGGGGGAAAAAACATGTTACTAATTCAAAGGGGTTCCCCTTCGGGAACTCGAGCTGCGTCGGAAAACGCTAGGGGGAACACCTTCAGCGATACCAAGCTCTGAATCATATGTGTAATCAGTCGAACGATGGGCGAGACGTGCGCGGCGGGTGACGTCATGACCAGGAAGCTTTAAAAGCACGTGAGGTGCCGCCGGCGCTAGCTTTCTGTCATTCAGCGAAGCTCTCTGTGTGTGTTGGTCACGATTTATGTTCTGTGAGTCTTATTTATTGTTGTCTGTCCAAAAAAGTGCACAAGCATCCAAAATAAGCTCCAGCAAAAAAAAAAAAAAAAAAAGAAATGTCTCAGCAAAAGACAAAAAAGGGACGAAAGTAGATCGCGTTACAGACTGTGTGTTCCTCCCTGCCCACGCTACATCACGAGCGGGGATACACACAGTCTGTGCGTGGTCTGCTTGGGAGTGGAGCACGCGGCGTCGGCTCTCGAGAGGGCTGACTGTCCGCATTGTGAGCAGTTGCCACTGCGTTTGCTTCGCTCCCGGAAGGCTCTCTTTGAGGAGGGAGCCTTCACCAGCATTCCTCACGGTGCTGGCCCCGCTTCCGCCGAGGCGGAGCGGCAGCTGCACTCGTGGGGTTCGCAGCTGGATCTGGTGGAGGGAATGGAGACGGGCGAGTCCCTATCTTCTTCCTCACCTGCCAGATCCGCTGGCCGCTCGCTGGGATCGGAAGCCCGTTCTGAGGCTACTACCCCCCGGAGAGCGGGCTCGGCGCTTCTCCTATCTTCCTCCGAGGAGGTTGATGTGGAGAGCGTCGAAGATTCGCCCCCTCAATCCCCACAATATGAGGAGCTAATGGAGGTAGTTACTTGTGCGGTTGCCAAGTTGAACATCGAATGGCCCGCAGAGAAACAGACTGAGCCGCAGAGAAGCAAACTCGATGAACGCTTTCTGCAGGCCAGGTCGCTACCTCCGCACCGGAGCCTGCTGTTTTTTCCCGATCTCCACACCGAGGTGTCGAGATCGTGGAAGAAACCATTCTCGGCCCGCTTATTCGTCCCTGTGGTATCGCTGAAGGCGTTCCCCCTAGCGTTTTCCGACGCAGCGTCTCATTCCCTCGGGGAACCATGGTTACATACGTAACCTGGGACGATTTTTAAAGACAGCACAAACACACTTTTTAAGTAAAATATTTCACAAATTCAATCAATAAGAAATTATTGCTACAGTTTATCAAACTTTTAATAGAACATGTCTATGGTTAGTGATTAAACTACATATGAGGTTTCTCTGGTAGGACACGTGAACTTTTAGAGAACTGACTCTAAATGCATAACAGTAGGCGCGTTTCCATTACCCTTCAAATTGCGCAAATTGAAATTGTGAATTGAAAATGCGCCTAATGGAAATGCGTCAATTTCGCAAAAATGCCCATTTACAGGTCACATGGCATATGTAAAATGTCATATGATCATTCTTCAATGTACTATAACCTCCAAGAAACACTTCATACGTGGCCGCTCTCCAGTATAAGGGGCTTTCCCTACCATTAATGCTTAGACAATTTACACTGCACACGTCTGCGGTGCAGTGTGGCTCTAATATGGCCACTGAAGCTGATTACAGCCACTCTAGTCAATGCTTGTGTTTATTCCAGCCGCACCACGCACGTTTCTGAAGCGGCTCACTGTGCTGCTTCTGTAAAGATACACGCTAATGCCTCCTTTGAATAAATATAGCCAAAATCTCACCAAAATCCGTTGCCATGACTTGTCGCGAGAGGCAAAAGGTTACGTTTTAGTCGCATAACATTGGTTAATGGAAACGCCGTCATTTCGCAAGACTTTTTTAATCGACATTTATAAAATATCGCCAAAGTGTTGCGCACATCTGTAATGGAAACGCGCCTACTGACATTGGCACCAGTTGCTTGAAAGTAAATGAAAAGGCTCAGAAAAGTGAAGTTAGTTCTTATAAAAGCTATCATTTGCTTCTAGATGCCACTTGCTTTGATATTTTGTGAGAAATGTATGAATGTCATTGCATCAGATAAGTACGACTGAAGTGTCCAAAGGCATCTTATTTTTGGGGCCACTGTACATATCAGAAAGAAAAAAAAAGATGGAACATGCAATTTTTTTCTCCTGAAGATAGTGATCATTGTTTCATGGCTGTTTGTTCATCTAACAGAGTCGAATCAGAAGAATGTGGAACGACACAGTCAGAAAACAGTCAGAGTCCTCTTTCATCTCAGGAGACATCAACAGCACATCAACCCTCAACCAAGGTCAGCCATGCACCCAAACTCATTTCATAATAGACTGAGACATAATGATCTGTAACCAGTCATCCATGTTTAATTAAATCTTTACAAATATTTTAGTATTTAATTGACCTCATATTTAATCAAATTTATTAATAGCCAATAATTTTTGAAGCTCTGCACTAATAAACTCATTTTCATTTGAATTAAATACCAAATTCATTTATATTTTAACCATTTCAACAGTTAAGTTAAATGAAGCCTGCTTTGGAAATCAGATTTTATTGTTCATGTATATTTATGCATATTTCCGATATATTTATGTAAAACGAGTTTTTTTTATTCAGCTGATAAGCTTATGAAAAGCCTGATTTTACTGGTACACATGCACGAGTATCTATTTTAAACCACTCATATGTGAGTTTAGTTAAAGTCAACATGAAACAGCATTCGCAACCCTTTTACTAATGTAATGTGACATTTGTCAGATAGCAAATTAATTAGACTTTGAAAAGTGGTCTCTCTATGTCAGGTATTTTGGGTGAGGCGGTGGATGAAAACTAAGAAAGATTGGTGTCATCAGCCAAAAAGGGCTCGTTTCAGAGGCGAAGTCATTACATTTTGATGAAAGATTATGATGCCAAACTTTTGTTTTTTATTCCTTGGAATAACATGGACTAATGCATCGTTCACAATAACATCAGGAATATGTATTGAGAAAGTAAATAGCATCACTTTTGATTTCATGTTGATTTTAATGGAAAATTAAACGATTAATGTCCATTTAAAGACACAAGAAGCCAGACAAGCCCCTTTTGGGCCTGTTTTACACAGCTACAGTAGTGAGTCAGTAGAAAATATGCCTTCGGTCAGCTATTTCAAGGATTTAGAAAAAAACTGTCATTTATTATTTAGCCAGGGCTGAAATGCATGTGATGAGAAGATGATGTTCAACTCTAGCTGACCTGCGGTAAGGTTGTATTATTCAGAGCCGTTTGCTTTGGCTTGCTCTAAAACACTCAGCATGCTTTTAATGCATGCGTTGAAGCACAAAACACAAAGGTGCAAAAAAATAAAAAAAATAAATTGTCTTTCCGTGCTTCAGTGTCTCTGTTCAGAAACGATAACAACAATGACTGTTTTTGTTTACAATATTGATATCACAGCATTGTGAGAAAGAAAAAAAAAAAAAATATGGACACATTTTTTTTATAATTTATCATTTAAATTTTTAGCACATAAAATTAAAATACTCTTTTTGTTAGTTTTTTGTTTGTTTGTTTGTTTTTTGTTTGTTTTTGCCATTGGCCAAAAATTCCCCCATTCATTTTCAATGGAGGATATCATTGACAAATATTGTTAACATTTAAAATTGTTAATGTGATAATTTCTTGAAACTAATTTGATTTAATATTACCAATTAATTTGCAGCTAGGTAATTAAATGATAATAATAAAATAAAAATAAATATGCTTCCAGATGAAACACTGCTCATCACTACTGTATGTCTTTAAATAGACATCTTAGAGGTCATAATCTTATTTGTCCTCTTGTTTTTGTTGCTTCAGGAATGACGGGCAATTATCTTCTTACTAACCCTCTTCTGAGACCACAAGGCACTAATAACCCCTACAACACCTTACTGGCTGAAACTATCGTATGTAACACACCAACGGTTCCAGTCTTTCACTCTCCAGGTGTGACGACTAATCCACTACACTCCTTTTGGCCCTTCTGCTGAAGTGATACTGTGTGGTACTATGAGTATTATCAGAGTACTAGGTAGTATCAGCCCCTCTGTGCTCAGAAATTATATATTAGGCTAAAACTGTAGTTCTCACTATGTGGATTTACAGCACAGAGTAAAGCAATTTTTCTTCACTATGAAGCCATTGTGATGCTCAAGATTTTTGTAAAAAAAAAAATTTATGCACGCATATTTATCTTATTTATATTTAAGCAATATTTTTTATATATATATATATTTCTTTTTTTTTAGTGACATGACACTGTTAACTGTTTGTGTCTTGTTTTCTCTTTCCCCTTTCTGCACACACTCAGTGACCTACAGAGAGACAAGTATGCAATCAGTTTTAAATTTGCCCATCAAATGTAATTGTTTTACCATAATTTAACTCTCTGGCCATCAACAGACCATCCACATATTGTCAGCACATGGTTCAAAATCATTACAGTGAGGAAATGTTGCTCTCAGTGAAACAATACTTTCATCACCTCTGCATTTTACAACTTTGGGATGTTGGCACGATGCATGCACATTGCACACACAATTGAGATTTCTAAAATGTACACTGAATGGAGTTTGTATTAAAATCAGTCGCCTTCTCTCTTTGTTAAACAGTCTCGTTTGGGTTGGATTTATCCAAATACTTTCTTCTCAGTTTAAACTGAAATGCTACAGATGTTGAAGCCAGTGCCTTCAATATGAAAAGCACATACACTCTTAAAAATAAAGGTGCATCACGATGCCATAGAAGAACCTTTTTGTCTAAATGGTTCCATAAAGAACCTTTAACATCTGAAGAACCTTTCTGTTTCACAAAAGGTTCTTTGTGGTGAAAGAAGGTTCTTCAGATTATAAAAAGGTAAGAAAGAGATGGTTCTTTAAAGAACCTTTGACTGAATGGTTCTTTGTGGAACCAAAAATGGTTCTTCTATGGCATCGCTTGAAGAACCTTTTGAAGCACCTTTATTTTTAAGAGATTAGTTTGCAGTTAAATTTGAATGTTTAACTGCATGTTACAACAGCTTCTACTGCGGCTCATCCAGTCATGAAACTGAGATTCAGATGCTTTCTGAAAATTAAATTTAAAACAGTGCTGTTTTTTTAGCGGCTGTTTAAAGTTGGAACCCCTCAAGTTTACACAGGTGTCATTCATAACATTTTCAAGTTATTTGTTTAATGTTTTCACTTTTTTTCTGGATCAGAATCTTTTTTTTTTTTTAGCCAAAATATCCAGATTATGGAAGCTTGTTTCTGATAAATAAAGAAATACAAACTAAGACTTTTATCTCGCAATTGCGGGTTTACAATTGTTTGCAATTGTAAGAAAATGTCAGAATTGTGTCTTTGACTTTTTTTTTTTACCCCATGATGGAAACGGGCTTCCATAGTGTATATGTAGTGTCCCCAGTATATTCTCTGTTACCTTCCTCCGGTGAAACACCTCTATCTGTCTGTTTACCAGTTTAGTGAGGAATTATGTCAGAGAAAAGCCCTCGTGTTTCTTTAGCCCTTCCGTCTCAATATCCAGCAGAAATCTCTCTTAAACTCCCTTTCCTCAAATTACTGTCCCTCTTCTGTTCCCATCTGCCATCTCCTTCCTTTGTCTTGTCATTTCTGTGGAGAGGCTCAGAGAATGGCTGTGTCCGAGCCGCCCACCGGTGGGCTCTCGTAAGATGCAGTTAAAGATTATCGTAGCTCATGCAGACATGCACTCATCCATCGGTGCGCAAATTAACTCCAATTACCACATAAAGTCCAGCACAGCAAACAAACCCAACTGTGACATTTAACGGAGGGAAAAGGCCTTAATTTTTACGTTAATTTAATTTGCTAAGTCCTTTGCTTGCGCTAACGTTGTAATTTGTTTTTGTTTTTTTTCACTTTTTTCTGTTAGTGATATCTCATCATGTTTTACAATAAATCATTTTCCTTTTTGTTTTGTGTTCTTTTTGTTCATCAGCAGCGCTCAGGTCTGCTGGCCTGAACAGACAGACTTGATGTGAGTTGTTCAGAGTGAGTTTTCTCTCTCCTGTCTGTTGGATGCTTTCGCTTTCATTGGCTCTCTGTAGTGTGAGAAATGGCTGTGTGTGTGTGTGTGTGTGTGTTTTTTTCCTTCTAATTTAAATTTTTTCTGTTTCTTTCAAACCCTTCACCCCCACCGCCTTAACTGCTTCAAATCAAGCTGATGTTGATGAATTCTGTGACTGTCACCGCTCTTTCATCTGTGAATACACATCTGTGCCTCTCTTTCATTTGTGTCTGTGATGTTTGAAGCCTACAGAATGATTTTAATGTTGTTTGGGATGTGGTTGAAACCAGTGTTCTGAAATTGGTCATTGTGAATTGTTCAAAATTGTGTGATTGGGGAAAAATTCAGAACTGTGGAGAATTCGCAAAGAATGAAATGTGCCTGCGCCTGTGGATTCAGTAAGGAAATTATGCAAATTAGGTCAGGTACACCTAGATGTAAAAGACTACTGTGATCTGGCGTACTTTGCTGGGGCTGTAGAACTGTGATCCAGGCACTTTACTGTAAAAATCCAGAAATGCAACTACACATTATTAGGGGCCTGGATTGTGTGTGTGGTTTGCAAATAATGCATGATTTCACGCTGAAAGTCATTTCAGCTATTTAGTAAATTCGTCACTTAAGTCAATTCAAATGTATTTTTATAGCACTTTCACACTACATATTGTTTCAAAACAGCTTTACAGAAAAGCATGATGTTAATGTTTATAACATCTTCATATATTGTCTAATAGTTACATTTATTAGTTTAGAGCTGGGCGGCAATATAGTTTGCATTTTGCTGTTAGGATATGCTATATAATATCTGTCGGCCTATGCAAGTATGTCCAACTTTATATATAGAACTGTGTGATGATATAGTTCCATTTTGTGATGAATTAAAAAAAAATCTGCCAGTTGACATTTACTATATAGTATACATTGGTTTACAATATATGTATAATGTATAATGGATATAATTATATCTATAATATTAATATATAATGGATATAATATGCATCCGACTTTATATATAGAGCTGTTCGATAAAACAGTTTACAATTTTCGACAATATAAACAATCGCACAGCCAAGATTTGCTAAATAGTATATGTTGTTTAATGTGAGTATACTGTATGTATGCTCACCAAAGGTCCAACTTGTAATATATCATTGGATGATGATATAGTTTCCATTTTTCTTAACAGAACCTTTCAATTCTGCATGCGCAGACTAAGCATTTCCGATTTGTTCCGATGTTCTAAAAATGTTAGCATTTGTGTATTCGACTCAAATGCAGGTCCTAAACAGCATTAAACATTGTGATATATTTCTCAGATTTTGCGAGAGCGGACAACCTGATGTTTTTCATCCTCTTATGTTGTTGCAGGACACTCGGTGACCAGCGGCAGAGATACGAACACGTTCGGGACTCTACCACTCAACGGCAACTTTAATAACAGCTACTCACTTCATAACTACAGCGACGGTGTGCAGGTGGTGGATTGCGGGCTCAGTCTCAATGACACAGCCTTCGAGAAGATGATCATCTCTGAGCTTGTGCACAACAACCTCAGGGCCGCCGAGTCCCGGATCAGCACCAAAAAGGGGGCGGGGATCAGCAGAGGGGAGGAGCCTGTGGTCGCGGAGACGTCGTCCCTTGTGCAGGTGGGTGGGGACAGCGAGATGGACGGTATGGGGCTGCACCACACGCATCCCCGCACGCTCGAAGCCCCCCTCATCCCCCAGCGAACTCACTCGCTCCTGTACCACACGCAGGAGAGAGCGAGGGCCGACGCAGACGGAGGGCAGTCGCATCCCCACAGCTACATCGGCCAGCTCCCGCCTCCAGCCGAAACCGCCCTGCCCTCCCCCAACAGAGACTCGGTGTACACCAGCATGCCAAACCTCAGAGACTCGCCATTCTCGGAGAGCAGTCTAGACGTTGGCCAGGACCTCTCGCCATCCAAACACAGTCCGAGCGAAGACGTTTACTATAAAAGCATGCCCAACCTGGGGTCAGGCCAGCAGCTGCACGCGTATTATCAGATGAGCAGAGACAGTAGCGAGGGCCTCATCATCCCCGTCTCTAAAGACGCTTGTGTCCCCGAGGGGGACGTACGAGAGGGACAAATGCAGCTGGTCACAAGCCTTTAAAACAAACTGTAATCACCGCCCACCATGTACACAGCCCCGCCCATCCACCGATGGCAGAGTGGTCTTCCTTTTTTAGCCTCCCACATAACTGCACACATAATGGAGATGTACCGCTGCTGTCCAACGAGTTACAGGCAGGCCCAGACGGAATCTGCAGACTTTTAATCGCATTTTCTGTGCTGATTTTAGGTGGAAATTTGTAGCGGAAAGTTGTCACTCATGAAATGTCACACAAAGCTTATGCCTTGTTTTTGGTAAAGATATCCTTACAAAAATGCATTAACTTGACCAGCAAAAATGCATAAAACCTGATATTAAGATTTTTGTTCAAAAAAAATGTTGAATTATTATTTGTATTTTTTTTTTTATCCCATTGGGGGGATAAAAAAATATTCCCGGTCAAGAATGCTATGTTATGCCATTATGCTATTATCACCAAATATTTTTTTAAACGTTATTAAAATGTTTTCTTTCAATTAGCACAGGTTTTTGAATGAAAATCATCCAAAAAGAATGCTTTTCATTCAAAAACTGAGGTGCATAAGCCAGGGTTGCCAGGTCTTCGTAACAAAACTAGCCCAATCATGGCCAAAACAAGCCCAATAGCAGAAATTGGCAATCATTTAAAAATTACATTAAAATTGTGTTCCATGGAGGTTGTACTTGATCGAAATCACATTCCAGGGGGGCAGGGAATTTTGCTTTTACCCACAGACAAAAAACATACCGCGGCAACAGTATAAAAGTAAGCACGGACTTGGCAACTCAGATCAATGAAGTCTACAATCATTCAGTTACAAAAAGAAATCTGTACCAACTGAAAGAAAACAAGTGGACAGAAAGATTGAATCCAAGATTTGGTGATAATATAGCATAACAAGACATTTGTAAACAATTCTTAAATGGCTGGCAACACCACATTAGGTACAGGATTTTCAGCAAAGCACAAGAGTTAAGGTAAATGCTGAAAAGAAAATAAAAGAAAAGAAGAAGAACATTTACCAATGGGCTAAGAAACTTCTTAATTCAAGACATATTTCAGCAAGTATACGATTTTGTTCAAAAAAATGTTTTAAGAATTTTTACTGGAAAACAATCCCGAAAATACTAATAGGGAAGCATATTTTTGCAATTTTTAATTGTTACCCTGTTTTTGGTAGCTGAATGTAATCAAATTAGCCACAATTATTTAATAAGCAAACAAGCAAGGGTCAGATGAAGTGTACAGTCGAACTTTGTGAATGAGGGCCTTCTAGTTTTAAGGAAATCTCCAGTTTTCTGCGGTTGCAGATTCCGTGTGGGCCTGGTTATAGAAATACAGTTTCACATTTAAAAGAAATAAATAAAATTAAGTCAACAAAAAAAGTATTTCTCGTTCCAGTGCATACGTTTCTCAAAGGATGTACATATATGTTCACATATTTCTCTTTTGAATGCAGTTTTGCTTTGTCTTTTTTTATTATATACAAAAATTTAATTTCCAGGACCTTAAGACATGCAGAGATTGTCCTGACTGAACTCAAGGAGTCCTGTAACACCCTTTACAATCATCAACAAAACCCCATGTGACCACTAGCAAACAAACCCCAGGCCTTACATTTTCTCAATCATACACGGAACTGTCAAGGGTAATGATATAACATAGAACAATATATTTTGTTGTATTGATTGTGTAAAATAAATTGCTATAAAATAATCAAGAGCAGCCCTAAATATAAAGCAAATGAAGAGATTTTGAAAATGAGATGACTATGTAAAAAGATTTGAAGCGTGTTTATGATGAGCTACGCTGCAAAAGACTTCGCCATTCCTCTGTCCTGTTCATGAAAATGGCTTTCGTTTTAGTAGATTCTCATGTTCCCGTGCCTTGCACACATTTATTTTGTGCAAATCTGTGCAAAGCATGAAAAATGTCGCAGCTGAGCATGAAGGAGGACCTTCTTCTTTAAAGACATGTTACTGCAGCTGGGGTTGGATATTTATTTATTAAATTATTCTTTAAAAATGATACTTTTGTGAATATTTTACAGCACTGGTCGACGTAGTTCATCCTCATAAGCATAATTATGAAACCCATCTCTGATAAACATGTTAAGGAGCCCATCTCTACAAAGGATGTAAAGTTCTACACTTGTTGAAAAATAAATAAATGTGAATTTTTGTCTAATTGAATGTGTAATGCCTTGTTGTTATTTGCACAGTGCGATTAGAAATATGAGTGTGAATGTACTTGTTTGTGTAAAGATCCGGAAACAGAAAGATGGTCAATCCATTTTAAAACTGAGACGTATTCCATCGCTCTTTTATCACAGTGGTTTGGCATGTTTATGCTATTTAAGCTGGTGATGCACATCAAAGTGAAACGCACTGTAAGCTGATACACAAACTGCAATATGAACCTTCATAAACAAACTGAGAACAGTTTGCTGCATTATAGCTAGAGGGCAGTGCACATGGGACCGGCAAGTTCATTTACTGGAGAAAGCTGCGGTTTATGAAGTTTTGAACGGTGTCTCTCTGAAGTCCTGTTTGAAACTATCAGTCATCAGAAAGTTTCTTTCAGACAGCTCCCTGCGCTGCACCTGCTGACGTAACCTCGAAATTGTCCCTGTGCCTCTTTGAAATCATCTGAAATCCTCACAATTCCTTTAGGAGACCCTAGAGTCAATGATGAGACAAAGGTTATGTTCAGAATGGAATACTGGCTTACTGCTTAATAAATTATGTGCAGTATACACTAAAAATAGATACTTATTTAATAGTAGGTGTAATAGTAATATGTAAGGCAGAGTACATTACATAATTCAAACAGTAGTATATTAAAATGTAAACTTAAAATTTGCTTTCCATTATTCTAATTTTGTGTGACAATGTTACCTATGGAGTAAATGAGAGAAAAAAAAAAAAAAACGCTTAAATCATGGCTGGTTCTTTCATCGCTGTAAAACAATAAATAAATGAATAAGAAATCAGCATTGCATTGTGGGGAAACAATATTGCACAGTGTGTTCTGTTGTATATTGATTGTTTTTGGAAATGTAGTAGGTAATATCATTATTAAAAGGTTGATTTTGAACAACAACAACAACAAATAATAATAATAATAATAATAATAATAACAATAATAAATAATAAATAAATTATAACGATAATAAATTTTCATTTATTAAATCATTAGTAAACCTAAAAGAAAGAAAGAAAGAAAGAAAGAAAGAAAGAAAGAAAGAAAGAAAGAAAGAAAGAAAGAAAGAACATAATTAAAAGGTTGAATTTCTTGGGGAGGAAAATTATAATAATAAAAAAAAAGTAATTTGGCACAATCTTATTATGATTTCTTAAACAATTACTAAATTTAAATAATTAATTGAAGGGTTACAAAAATATGATTATTATTATTATTATTGGAAAATCATTTTATTAGTTGTGTTGTATTGATTACTGTACAAAAATACAACCAATATGACAGCAAAATGAATGCATTTTTACTTTTTTTTTTATCAAAAAGAGAAGAAAATAGTCAAAAACTTTCTACACTTGAGGTCACAGCTTCATCTTTCAGAGCTTTTATTGTGTTCTGTCTGTGAAAGATCATCATGAAGGCAACAGGGACACAACACAGAGTTTTTAATGAATCGGATTCGGAGCACAACCTTGAATGCAGGTGTGCTTTATGGGCGAATATTGATTATGAATTGCCTTGCTGATGGCGAGAGAGCGTCAGGCGATTAAACCAACGGGTGATCAGGACAAATCATCTCGCTGTGGTTTTATTGGGATCCAGGGCAGATGTGATGTGTAGACTTATTTTACAGCATTGATCTGGGGCATCAGGGATTGCTCAATTCATGTGACCAGATTTATGAATTACATGCATTTGAATCTGTTTTATTTCAGGAATATAAGAAGAAATTCAAAGACTGAAAATACTTCAGGGTGAATCGAACATTCAGAGGAGTAACAACCTCAGATTTTTTTCCCTTTCAAATATTTATTCAGCAAATAAATGATTTTTTTAGTCTGCACATCGACCGCAGTGTCGAGATAAAAGACAGCTCTAAATTAGAACATCATCAAAGCAAAATCTTCACGCTATGTGAATAGAACAAGTCACCTTGTGTTTTCTTCTCCTTGAATATCGTCATCCTTTACCTGTCAAGGCAAGCAATTTAGCTGTGAAGCTTCCAATAGGAAAGAAAATCACAAATACGATTGTTTTTCCCCCCTCAGTTGTTTCTCCTACAGCACTGAGATTAAATAGAGAGAAATTGTTCACCTAAAAATAATTTACTTGTCCTCATGTTGTTCCAAGCCTCTTTTTTTACCGCCACTTGTCAAATGTCACATGTTTGACATCATTGATGCAGAACTATAATATATATATTAAGGCTCTTGAGAAACAGACCACAGTAATTTAACCTCTTGAACAATGTCTCACTGTGCTCAGATTTGCCAAGATACCAAAGTGTGCAATCAATAGACAAAGATTTGAATATGATTTCATATGAATTGAATATGATAGTTAATATGAGCACATGAAATTCTTCCATTTCATCAAAAAGGATCTGAGCTATAATATCGCAAAGCCATGTAGGATGGTATTCTCTAACCTCTAAATTCTCGAACTCATTTTGTCTCGTTTTAGTACTTTTAAACATTCATACTGAATACAATTCAGAACACCTTAAAGCGGTCAAATTGTACAGTGTGTATATAGTTTTATGTATCACACAAGGTTGGAAATGCATGCACTCCAGTGTGGTTCTTGACGCTGTGGGGTCCTGATGACTGCAGTCTGAGATTAGCCTCTCAATAAATGTCATGTTGTGTGCGTCAGTGGCGTCTGGATCTCACTGTGATGTCACAACACAGCTGGGAATGATCCTCTGACATTGACTGGACTCATTTGCTGAGATTTGTTCAGTATTTTTATGAGTTTGATGTCATGCCTGCCCTTTAGGTGATGCTTTATAAGGATTACTGCTAATTGATGTTAAGAATGATATTCTGAGCGGCCAAAAATAGTATCTTGTGTAGATGTTACATATTTTAAACATACGGGCTACAGCAGGTTTTATCAGTTCAACAATGACATCTGCTAAATATATCCAAACTTATACAGTATTATGGTATCTTAGTAATATTTCAGATTTTTTAAAGTATTATCATCATCTTCGTCGTCGTCATCATCTTCATCATTACTATTAGTCCAATTTGTTTGCTGTTATAGAATAAAATGCCTTTTTTGACAATTACTGTAATTATTAATTGAATTATGAAATGGGGGTGGAACTGGGGAAATAGATGTTTTTATTATTGTTATTAGTAGTAGTAGTATTGTTGGTGGTGGTAATAGTATTTTATATTTATTATTTCATTATTTATTAGAGTCAATTTGTTACCTTTTTGAATAAAATTATGAAATGGGATGGAATTGTAAAAATGGCTTGAAATAAATATAAATATATAGAAAGAAAGAAAGAAAGAAAGAAAGAAAGAAAGAAAGAAAGAAAGAAAGAAAAAACAAAGCAAACAAGCACATAAAATATTATGCTGACATTACATCTTTTAAACATATGTATTAAATGTTTTAAATATATATTTTTTAAACTGTATAATTATTAAATATGTATATTGTGCAGTAATGACATCTGCAAAATATATCATAAAACATTTGATGGTATCTCAGTAATATTTCAGATTTTTAAAGTATAAGTTGTATTATTATTATTATTATTAAAAAAGATTTTGCTGTTTTAGAATAAAATGTCTGTTTTGCCTTTTTTGAACAAAATTGGAATTGTTCTTAGTAATAGTAGTAATTTTTATTTATTTATGTATGTGTGTATGAATGTATTTATTTATTTTTAAGAGTAAAATGTCTCCATTTGTTACCATTTTGTATAAAATAATGTAATGGGGTGGAATTTGAAAACCAACCAAAAACAAACAAATAAACAAACAAATAAATAAATAAAAGAGAAGGTACAAAACAGAA